TGCCTTAATCAGTGATTAAAATACTTCAGTGTCAACCACTAAGGAAAAACTACTTTTTCTCAAGTTTTCTAAAACTATTTTGAAGGACGAAATTAATGATATTTCTAGCAATAAGGACAGCCACATGTCCGAGGTAGGTACCGTATTATAAACCAGAACCTTAATACTCTTGGAGAAACCAAATCATTCAGTAGGCAATAAATACTTGCTCTTGAAACATCTCCAATTTATAACTCCAACAGGAGAGTGCTAGGATATCAAATTATTTTCCAAAACCACCTGAAAAGAAGCCAGAGATGCTCCAGGATTTATTTTTTCTTAAAGAGCTTAATATCTTCACTACACCAAAAGTACATTGCTTCTAGCCTCAACAGGGAGTGTTCTGCCAAGATTGCAGGAAAATAAAAAAAATCCAGAACACAGAATATTACACTCAATTAATTACACGCTTAATTGCTCTCTTCTGTTAACAGCCTAATGAACACAGAAGTTTCAGTTTCAGTATGTTCGTGTAGCCCAAAGTTTCAAGTCCTATAAATGAGACAGGACTGCTTTGCAACATCTGTGCTAAGATCAGACATGTTTGTAACCAGAAGTAAACACTCAGAGTAACACCTATGCCCTTTGCTCTCCAACCAGAGCACCCAGGAGCTGACATGTAGGGGGTTTTCTGTATAACCTGCAAAGACAACGTTGTATGTCATGGAACATGACAGCCTCAATTAAACTTAAAAAGAATCTGACTTATCTTAGATCCCAGGCCAGTGGACCACCATGTGTCAATGGAAGTTCTGCCTCTCTTCACTTCTCTGGCCAGGACCTGGTTGCACTATTGAATCTACTTATGTCTCTGAGTCAGTAGTCTAAAAGCTATCCCAAGGCACACACAACTTTCATTTCAACCTTCCCGAGGCACACATCAAAGTGATGTACCAGGAAGCCAGCTGGCAAGAAGCAGGTTCCAAATGTTTGCATAAACTGCAAGTTAGCTATTAAACTAATGGCAAATGGCCCAATTCCAGTTAGGAATTCAGAGGCACTTGCCCTCATTAAAGCCCAACAAAATAAAACAAAGTCTCTAAGCTAAGCCACTCAAGATATTACCCATGTAACACAAACATTTCATTTCCAGGGTCAGATTCAATTTGCTTTTTGCTCACTCTGCACTGTGTACTTACATGAGGAATCTTGCCATAAAAAAGCAAACCTGCCTGTCCTTCCTAGAAAAACCAAAAAATCACCTTGTATTTCCTCTACTTACAGTTTTGCACACAAAAGAAAAGCCTGCAGTGATTTTTTAACTTTTTTATATGAGACACAGTGTTCTCAGACATTCCTAGTCTCAACTATCTAGTCATATCTATCCTGATGAAACTTCTGCAAGAAAAGCTGATGTGTGCTATTTCTTTTAAAGGCAATATTATGATACTGTCAAATCTTTCATAATCCTGAAGTTCAAGAGACAGTAATTTTTTGGGTTTGAAATGGAAATTTAGCTTTGGCATTAATAATGGAGAGAACGGGCACACGTACACAGATAATTCAGTCAGACATGAGCTCAGTCAGAGCACATTCCAAGCTGGCCGGACACGAGCCAGCTCCAGTTCACCAGTCATGAGCTGTGTTAGCACAGCACTGTGCCCACACTAATAAAACCTGCTGAGAGGCTGGGTGTGCTGGGCTGGGCATAGTCCTGCACTGTCTGGCCAACTCCAATCACGGACAGTGGATGCTGGGTCTGTCGCACCCATCTGTGCATGCACTGCTCCTTAAGACTCCTACTGCTGCAAATTTTTTTCTCCTTACATAGAGCACAGCACTATATATTTGGGATTTTAAGTATCCTCCTTGATCATAGCCATGGCAATTCCTTATAGCTGTTCCAGTGTGCATTTAAAACAAGACAATAATTATTAGCACTACAGGCCAATGACGGGCATGGGCATTTGAATGGATTTTATTTATGTAACTGTCCTTTACAGTTAGTAGCATTTCTCCCAGGCATTTATTCTGTTATGGAATTCAACAAGACTTGTAACTCAGTTCATCAACATCTTAAAGACAAAGGACACATTTTTAGTAGTATTCAAGTACCTTAATATAAACAAAGAGAAAATTAAGTTACTCATTATAAAAACTGAGTATCCTAGCTCTTAGAGGAAGATAGAAAATGACACCATGAAAAGAGATCAAGTAATACAGTTCTTTAAGGTTTTGCTCCAAAAACCCATTAACTAAACTTAACTTTGCCTATGCAAGGAAATTAATAAGCCTTCCAAGGATGGAAAAAACCCATGTATTAATCATCTACTGACAGAGAAACCAAAGGACAGGTGTGCAACTCCATGCTCAAATAACTACACTGGAAGATCAAGGAATAAAACTGTAACATGAACATGTTAATAACATTAAGTTTTCCCTAATAAAAAATGCCCTGGAGCAGTTAAAGGCTAACAGAAGTCCTCCATTTTATATTTTCTTTATTTAAAAGGTAGATTAAAAAATAAACAAAACAGACAACAAAAACAAATTTAGTTTTAAATACTTGATTTTTAGGAAATGCACCCTTCAATTATACAACACTGGCTGTGCCAGCCCCTTCTGTCTTGCCTGTAAAAAGGCACAGGGTAAAAAAGTCAGACCAGAGTGTGAGATTTCTGTCTCTATTTCAAAGTAACTTCTTCTCACTACTATTTAACTTTCCTATTGTCTAAAGTAAGTATTACATGTTTTGAAATGAACTACAGATTGTCAGCTAAAAAAGTAACAACAATATTTAAGGTATGTTCAACAGCCTTCACACTCAAAGCCATTGACACAAACTGGAGAAGTTTAGCTTATTTGAAAAGCAAATTTAATCTTGGCAGTAGTCTTTGAAATAAATTTCAAATTTTCTTACATACAACAAGATCTCAAAAATAGAACTCATATTTTATGCTTTAACATTCATCATTTGGGTCTATTTGTATACTCATGTCACTGAGAATGTAAAACCCATTAAAAGGTATCATCCAAACAAGTTTAGGCAGACTCAGGTAACAAAAATCAGGGGATGGTGACACAGGAAGATGATTTAGGGCAAGATTTATGTTAATCTTCACTGGAATAGCCTGCATGCTGCAAAAATACTAGATAGTATTAGTCAGTATTTAAGTTTACAATATTGTCTCTAGGTATTAGATCTGAGATCTAATACAGAGTGCTTAAATTTCTTAACTAAAAATTACTTGTCTGACTTCAGAAACATGAATTCAGTACTCACATAGGATTCTGTGAGAGTGAGATTTTTGAGAGCAAAAAGTAAGTTTTCATTTTGATTTACAGTATGTGCAAGAATACTCAAAGTAATACTAGCTTCAACAAGTTCTAACAAACATTCATCACTGGTGACAATCAAGACAATGGAATAACTTTTTGGCTAAGCTGGATGTGAACCTCTAATGTACTATAGCTGTCAGGTTCATGTATCATGCACACCTGCATAAAAAATAATCTCAGTGCACAATTTTCAGAGAGAAGCTGAACCTTACCCTTAGTGACAGAAGGAATGCTTTTTCCACCTGGATTATTTAAAATGACTAACTAGTCCATTCCAGTTTTAAAAACTCATCAGATTTCAAAATATGTGAGTTTGTGTTCCATTATACATTAATTAAAAGAGACAATAGAGAAAAATTGCTTGGAGAGCTACTCAACCTTACAAAAAACAAGGTAAATGGAAAGAAAAGTGTTCAGCTCTTAACTACAGCTAGTATTTTGTCAGAAACATAAAAACATTTGTTGTTCCCCTTTGTTATTGAAAGCATGGAACGGCGCAGTTCACAAAATGTGAGTTGAGTAGACGTGAATCACAGAAACAGAATTACAGAAATTCATACCCGAAGAACAACCTGACATAACTCCGGTATAAAATGCCACATCTCTTTAAATAAAAAATATAATAATGTAAGGAAATATATCAGACTACAGAATTGTTTAGAGGGGCATATTATTCTATTTAGATACACAAATACAACATGGATATATATTCTATTCCACAAACAGAAATGTAAACTCATAAATCTCTATCCTGAACATAATCAGGATCGTACACAATGGATATGGCAGTGGGGGATGACCAGAAATGAACTGAAAAAAATGAAATTTAAATTAATTTAAAATCAGTTAGCTAAATGAAGACTTTTTGGCTCATTTAAAAAATAGTTAAATGCATATTTCAATGCTAATAAATTTTACAGTTTGTCCAAAATGTGAATAAAATTAATTAAGAAGTATGTATTTTTAGTCTGATCAGCTATTCTGCATGTAACATTTACATAGATATCATACTATTTCTCTTCTGTCAGGACAAGAAAACCTCTAGAGAACACACTGTAGAAACTAAACCAAGAGTGAAATGCAGGTGTAATTTTCTGTACCATTCCCTGACACCAGAAGGCTTGCTGTTAAGTCTCCCTGAAACCTATCTGCAGAGATAAAACATATAGTTAAACCTACAGTTAAGCCTTTCAAGTGGAAAGCTTATCCCATGAAAAGCTGCATTTGAAGAAGGGCATTGAGCAGAAGTTAGTCATGAGCCGTACCTGTAGTCACACAATATTATGTCTTTGTCAGAACAGAGAAGAATATTTACTGTTATGACTATGTCACTGTACACCACATATTAAAGACACTAATGAAATATTTCACAACAAAGCAAAGTCATTATCTTGAAAAACATAGTCCCTTATTTAGGAATTCCTTTCCATCAGCTATCAAAAAAAAGCTCCACCTGAATCTTCTGCAGCCACTAACCAGTTTTGAAACTGGTAGAAAAAGACAAATTACAGGTTGTTTCTTAAGTAATTCAACATGTTACATTAATAAATTATGTTTAACCCAAATTTACTTTATTGTGACAACTCAAGACAATGTAGATATGAATTTCAACTGAAATACGTGAATAGCACCAAACAATTGCGTCTTAAGGAGCAGTATCAGCAATAACTTGTATTACTTACTGGTATATAATAGATATTCATTTTAGGGGCTTCATTGGCAGTCATTAGCATTCCTAAAAAGAAATTTCCACATTTAAAAATATTGATCAGAAGAGGTTTATACTATTTTTAAAAAAGCTCATAAAGTACATATTCTTGGCTTGCAATGGACATTAATCAAGACCTGTAATAAATTGTTGCATCAAATACCATGGAAAAAAAGGTGAAATCAGCATAATTAACAAAACTTAATTTTCTATATATTCATTCCCTTTTGTCATCTATCTTAATTGTTCAGCACCACTTTAAGCAACATTAAGCTCTGACAAGTGCAGGTTGCCAACTTTCATAAAAAATGTAAACAGTTCATCCCTTAATATTGTTTAGAACAAGTCCAGTTAGTATTGCAGTAAAAAACAACCTTGGACATAAAACTGCATTATTAATACACTGGTATTAGTACATGTGGTTGTTTTATTTTTAAACACACACCTAAACAGAGACATGAATCATGACATGGTTTATGTTATTCGTATTTCATTCATATTTCATCTTGGGAAATAAACAAAACAGCAGCTTCTCAGCCCAAAATGAGATACAGGATACTGTGGCTTCAAAAGGAGTAATACTAGTGTATAACCAAGCAGGGCAAATGTAGAATTTGAAGTATCTATGAATATACCAAAAAACACCACGAATGAGGTGTTTATGTACTCTGAATATAAAAAAATACTGTAGGAATACTAAAATCTGGAAAATCTCCTACTGCCAAAAGACATCATGTAAGTTCAAAATGAAGAACACTCTCAATTTCCTTCTACATAAAAGAGTAATAAGAACATTTGCCATATACTTTTCTGTTTATCTCAATTTTGTCTTTCCAATGTAGCTGATCAGCAAGTAATACAAGAGATTGATTATGAAGAAGAAAAGTGCCATCAAATTAGATAACATTCTGATCTGAAAGAACTGTAACACATGTCACTGAGACTATGAATAATTGGGTCAATTACTACACACGCAGAGGGCAGAAATATAATTTACACCCAACTACAGGAATGCAATTAACATGGGTGGAGTAATCCTTCCTACCTAATCCTTTTATTATAGATATATAATGCAGCTGGACTTGTCAGAAAGAAGCGGGCTTACTTTCCCAGCAAAAGCAAGGTACTTGTGAAAGCTTTGTCAGTAAACAGGCTAAAAACTGTGCCTGGAAAGGTTTGCAGGCAATTTAAGGAAAAAGCAAGAATTTATAGCATACACTTGAATAAACACACATGGAGTGATCCAGTATAGCAGAGAAGTTACATGCTCCCCTAACAGCACACTCACTACTATTTCATAAGACAAAGCATCTTTCCACTGACTGAATAGGAATCATTAAGATATAAAGACAGAAATTAATTCTGCAGATGCTTCAAAGATGACAGTAAAGTAAAACCTCCTCTTTGAGAGTTTTCTATCAATAATTAAAGGACAAAAGCAGACTTCAGAACAGTATATGAGTGTATACTACAGGGGAAATAGAAGAAAGAGAAAGTAAACCACTCTGAAAGGAGAAGTCTATTCCATGCATTTTTATTGCTTCAGCTTGTTAGTTTTAATAAATTTTTATGGGAAGAAAGACTACACCCTAACAAACTACATAACAGCCTAGGTTGATTACTGTAGAAGGGAAATAAGGGAAAGCCTTTTTTCATAAGTTTTAGTAAGACCCTCTTTGGAAAATTATCTGCAATACAGTATCATGAATGTAAAAGGATGAAAATGGGAGTATGAAGTGATAGTATGTGGGAGCAGTAGTTTTAGAAAATGCAGATGCTTACATTTTAATTTTTCCTACAGTAATTGAAACAGATGAGACTGTTAACAAGTTTCATTTATATTCTACAACTTAAATTGACTGAAAGCTACTCAGTAAGAGGTAAACATTTTTCCCCCTAGCCCCATTCTGTTCATGTATGATAAGAGGAAGATATTTGACTTTTAAGGGATCCACTAAGGTCTGTCATTATGTAGTTTGGTCAAAGATACAAGAGGGCTTGCTTCCCAGGAAAGGTACTAATACTGAAGCCAGTTGGTAAAACAGTTTAATTAAAAATGCCTAACTGTGGAACTACCTAACTAAAAAACTACCACCAAAAAAACCCAGTTCACAGTATAGTGATCTTGAGTTTACCATAACTGATAGAATTATAGAATCATAGAATAGTTTGGTTTGGATGAGATTCCCATGGACTCAATTCTGAAGCTCGTCCAAGTACCTCTGGATGGCATCACATCCTTCAGCTTGGTGTCATCTGCCAGTTTGCTGAGGGTACACTCAATCTCGCTATGTCATTAATGAAGATATTAAATAAAGTTTGTCCCAATACAGAGCCCTAAGGGACACCACCTGTCACTGATTTCCATTTGGACACTGAACTGTTGACCACTACACCTTCTGGATGAGACTATCCAACCAATTCCTCATCACCCGAACAGTCCGCCCATCAAATTCTTACCTCTCCAATAAGGGTGAAAATGGGGTTTTGTCTTTCTGAGTAGCAGTGACACAAGAAGTGTTAAAACACAAGCTAGGCAAAGATCTCCTGGGTTTCCTCTGCTATGCATCTGAGAATGCTGGGGCACCAGAAGGACCACTGAGCTAAACCCATACTGATACTGAAATCATGTTATATATTTTTGACTTTCCACAACTGCAAGCCCATCTTACTGAAAGTATTTCCTTTTTTTCAGATCTTCAGTCCTGATTATTTCTCACATTCTGAACAAGAATGAGGTGGTTCTAGGCATCTTAAATGCTGGTCCAACAGTATTCATGATAAACACATGATGCTCCACCTCTTACCCTAGATCTCTCAATTTCCACTGCAACATGCTCTAGCTTTTGCCCCACTGTCTCCATGTGACTATAAAATACAACCCAGTTTTCTTTCCATAAACAGTTCTTACCAAAACTATCAACCTGTTCCCCTCCACACAGTAAGAAAAGCAGCACTGATTTGAGAAGGAGATGTGGGACACAGAATTGGACTGCACAATCTAGATCTCAGTCACAGACATGTGAAAAGCAACGTCCAATAGCAACATTAGGGAGATGTGTGCATTCAATTCTTTGTGCTACAAGATTCGTCCTGCAAAGTTTCATGAAAATCATTTCTGCAAAAGTACACAAGGCATGTCCACATACCACAAAGGCTACAGAGCATCCACAGCGGAGTAATGCCCATCCGTGACATATTCAAACTTGATTTGATCTGAGCAACCTGATCAGACTTCAAAGCTGGATCTAACTGCAAGTTGGCCCTGCTTTGAGTAGGAAATATACAACTCCCAGGGGTACCTTCCAACCTAAATTATACTATGATTCTACATTGACAAATAACTTTTTTCTGTTCCGTTCCCCACAGTGAGCTCTTCATTGATGCAGTGTGGACGTTAATTTGCTGCTGGATTCTCTTTTAGATGAAACCAATAAGCTCACAGGTGAAACCTGGGTGCAATGCTAAAAACAATTCACTCCAATGATGTCCCTCTGTAGCCACCACCGATGAGGGTTTATCCATCTCCAGAACACACAGTCCACCCTGTCACCATGCAATAATTCTCAAATACACCCACGTGAAATCCTACATTCCACCAGGGCACCTGGCATGTACTCTGCGCATAAGGTCAAAAATGCCCACCATCTTATGAGGAAAGAGTATTTAATTGCTCATCTCACAAAAAAAAAAAAAAAAAAAAGAAAAAAAAAAAAGAAAACACAACTCCAACACATTCTTAACTGAAGCTGGCAGAAAAGACAAAGATAAGTTTTAACTTGCTAGAAATCTCAATCTCACTTATCTATGATCTTAAATTTGAGCTGCTAGCATGAATCAAAGTCCAAGTTGCTCTATCTTTACTGCTACCTCTCTAAAATTAGGATAATAGCAGTTTGCAACTCAGGCATTGTCTGTTTCAAGACTTTTGCTCTGTGACATCCAAGTGATCCTAACTTATTTCATTTTTTTCAATACTGCTTTCTAAAAAGGAAGTAGGTGTCACACCATACTTAAGAACTAAAGCAACTCATATTAAGCAAGAAAACTAATTCCAGTTGCAATCTGAAGTACAACCAAAGCACATATGCACATACAACCACCACTTTGTAAAATATTTTTACTCATTAAGTCCTGGAAAACTTGGTTAAAAGTGATCCTCAGCTTTAATGTCTAAACATATTATGAGATGTAAAAAATCTGAAAACAATTACAGAAACCATGCAAATTTGTATACTTAGGAATCTACACTTGAAACCTAAGGGATGGCACAATTTAAGTGCTGTATTTAAATCAAGGAAAGATAAAATCCTTGAAACACTTGAAAAAAATCTGCAAATTTGCTGTAAAGAGGTTTTTCCTACCTCTACAAAGCAAGCTCTAAGCCATCTGGGACTTAGTCAAGACAACAGGCCAAAATTCCTATTCTTATGAAATGAGTCACTTCAGATATTTGAAGGAGTAAAAAGGTCAGTCACTCAATTAACAGCACAGCAGCTTCTAACTGCAAAGAGGCTCCAATGTAATACAGATGTAGAGGAAACAAGGACACTGACAAATAACCCTTTATTCCAAGCTCTGCCGTAAGGAGGAAAGTAGACCTAAATTGTATCACCCAAACAAAGACCGCACCTTGGGTTAACAAGCTTTTCCTTTTGAATTCAGCAAGACATTAATATACTTAACATACCCGAATTTGGATAAAGGCAGACATCATTTATATCATGTTCTGGCTCCATTGAAGTAAATATCTTCCCCTGAAATTGTAGAAAGAAAATAAATCATGAAGAACTCTAAACAATATAATTAAATTCAGTAAATCTAAACATTAATAATAGCTACTATTGAAGCTAAGAAACATGATGGAATAAAGATGGAACAGATTTTGCAGAACAATAAAATGTTATTAATTTCTGAACATAACAAAAGGAACTCAGTATTGTATTTTATCTCTGATTCAATCTCTTACAAGGAAGTGCAGCCTACTGGCAATTGAAGACATAGCAACGTACAGTGGCACCTCTAAATTCTCAGTTTACACTTCTGTGTTGAAAATACATGTTAAGATTTATTTTATTTTACGTAAAAGCGGGGCTAACACACTGCCAGCATAACCCTCAGTTTATTCAGCTCTGAATGGGGTAGCTTTAAGTAACTTTACTTTGCTAAGAATGATTAGCTGAATAAATGAATTAGAATTTGAATCTGGGGCTTGGTTCTTCCACTGTACTAATGTCTACATGAAATGAAATATAGCTCAACATTTTATTTAATACTGAGTACTGAATTTATAAATCATAAAGAGGTCTTGATATAAAATAAAAGTAGTAAGAACATGCAGCGGTATCTAGCTTAGATCAGAATTAAAAGTTATAAAGGTTACTTAAGAAAGAGGTAAAAGCAGGAAACAATGTTCTCAAAATAGTAAGAACTGGAACACAGTCTGAAAAACCCAGACAAAATACAGGTGCTCTTATAAGCCAACACACAAAACAGCCAGTAAAGTAAGAGTCTCTAAAAACTGGACCACATAATCTGAAGCATGAGACTACATGCCTGCAGAATTCTAAATGAGGGACAGGAACAAGGCAAATTTTGATCCTGTTCCTCTTTTTTTTCTTTCCCTGCAGCAATCCCACCTACCTTTCTGGGCCCTTCCTTTCCCTCCCAGTTACATGCTGTTACCCCACCCACCTCTGGTCTCTCCCTGATGATTAAGAAGAGTCTTCCTCCACCCTGGCCTCAGCAGACAAAAGCCTGGTGCTCCCCACCCCAAGGCACGTCTCAGCATGGGGCTATTCTGGTATCAAAGCCATATGCTCTCCACCCGAAGTCTGCCTCTGCACTTGGTTCCCGGCCAGAGATAGTCAGGAACCAGCATCTGGGAGAGGTGGAGCCAGCTGGAACATACTCTAGGAAAGAGTCCAAAGCTATCTTTGCCTTCCAGCGGAGAGAAGCCCTCCCTTTTCCCACCAGAGGCCACCTGACAAACCTTACAGCATTTCATTCTCAAGGAGGGAAATACACATACCTAGGAAAAATGGAGAGGCCACTGCAGATGTTTTAAATAATAACCAATAATTTATTTGCTCTTTCAAACAATAAAAATTAACTGCAGAGGAGCTTACAAAAAACTATTTGTGATCAGAGAAAAAATAAAAGAGGCTGTTGAAAGTTCATGAAGCAGCACAACAATACTGAAGTGACTGCCTGAAATAATTAGAAAAAAGCCCCTACTACAATTCTGTTTCACTATAAAGTTAGAAAAACATAGATGGAGCATGTTTTTTAGAAGGAACACAATGACTACAGACATCCCCTCAAACCAAAACAAGTTACAATAGTCTTACTATGAATCTATGGCAACAAAGTATGTTGCCCCACAGATTCATAGTAAGGTTCATTGACACAAAGGTAAGAATGAGGATGACAGCATGATATAATGAAAAAAGTGCCATGAAAATCAGAGATTTCAATTTCACTTAGAGGTGCAAAGGGCAGGGATAAAGACATTGCCCATTGCAACATAATCCCTAAGACAGTGTAAGACACACTGTTATTTGGCTCCATGCATAGTATCTGCTTCAGTATCCAAACAGGATCCTGTGAAAATAAGCAAGAAGTACCTGATTTTAACAGGTCCGTAACTGATCTACCTTTGAAATTAACCCAACTCTGAGCAGGGAATTGGAATGAACATGTTTTTTCAGGTGAAAAAAAGTAATGGATGTATTCAAGAACACTGAGAAATATACAAACCAAGGCAATGGCTAAGATACTACTTTTTATGTTTAAATCCTTCTCCTGAAAGAAGCCTATTGGCCAGACACGTACAAACAGCTAAAAACCCCCTAAGACTGTATCTTTATACCTGACAGGCTATTGAGTAACTTCCCAGATGTGGATTTAGTCAGACAGGACAAAATGCTATGTAAATTAAGAGACATTAAAATCTCAACTTCTTACACTGAATTTCAGCTTAATTAATCAAGCTGCACAAAAACACTCCAAAACAACAAACAAACAAAAAAACCCCAAAAACTCTCAACCCAAATAAAGTAAAAATTAAAAAATCTGAATGCAGCAACATCAAATTACTTACTGTATCTTTGTTCCACATTTTTATGATTCGAGAATCCGCAGAGATAATTAAATCCAACTGATGCTGAAACTGAATTGATTTAATAGGCAGGCCATAGTGGTGATCTTTGACTATTAATGGATTACTAGACCGGAGATCATACAATAGGACCTTGAAGAATAAGAGACAAATTGAATTTATAACATTGTAAGATTATGAGGAAGTCATGCCCATCAGATCTTCACTAAACACTTAACTACACTTGAGATTTTACATAAATACATAGGCAGTATTTACATAAAATAAATAATATTAAATTCTGAAAACAACTTATTAGGAGAGCCCAGTTTATTCTAGCCAGGTATTTTAACATCACTATTTTTCCATCTAGAAAAATTAACAAATTTAAGACCTAACCATCTTTCTAATGACTTTTTAATTTCTATTGAAAACAACAAACCTTACTCTTACTAAGAGTATGAAATACTCTTAGTATTTCATAATTCGTAATATTTCACTTCCAGATTCTTGTGTTGTTGTTACATTATTTAAATTTTCAGACTCCCTTCCAAATTCAGTGAATGTAACTTTCCCTCAGTGAAACACCACAGAATGTAATTTTTTATGTTAAGGAAAGTAGAGAGTACAGGCCCTGTCTTCCAAAAACATGTATTTTACCTCCAAAACTTCCTATGGAACTTGAGAAAGTTAAATTTTTCATATGTAAAGTGTGAATAACAGTAATTTTTGGGAAAAATAGTATTATCAGTTTATTTAATCAGAAACACAATTTACAATAAAATTTGTCTGACTTGTACAATAACATAGAAAATACAATTTTCACACATTTATCTGTTCTTGAAGAAGCTTCAGTTTCTAAACCCATGAAAATACTGATGAAGGCAGGAAACAATCCCCACACTTCCCTTTATAAATATGGCAAAAATAAATGAATTGAAATGATTCTTCATATCAAGATAAGACACTAAAAATAACAGTTGAAAGACAATAATTTCAGGTTTTTTAGCCACCATCAAGACAAGGCAGAGCACATATGTTGCATTGAGATGGTACTCATAGTCCCAAAAAGCAGCAACTTCCCCACACACTTGACTCAAGTCGTAAGAAAACTGCAAATTTGAACTTACATAGTATGTAGGTTATGAAGATTTAAAGTGGTACCTACAAAATTCTGAAGAGCACAAGCATTTGATAAAATTAAATTGCAGTTTGACTATTACTACTCTATACACATAATTTATGGTCTAATAAATACTTGCAATAATAGATATATACTGCATTCAATGTATAATAGACTTGGATTGGGAATTGCAAGAGCAGAATCTCCTAAGAACTACAGTAGATTAAGTCAAATCTACCTGCCCAGTAGATGTTCCAACAGCCATATTCAAAGCCCCATCAAATTTCAGTGCTGAAATGGATGGCAAACCTTCTATCCTGCAAAGCAAAATGCTTATAGTTAGGCATTCTTTCAATAAAGCCTGGAAATAATATTTTTAATGTTAAAAAGTAGCTAAGTTAATTCTTAGCTAATACTAAATCAGGTATAATTGAAAAATGCTACTTCAAAAAGCTGCACTGTTTACATTCACAACACATATTTATATACAAAAATAGCCACTGCTACTTAGATTAGTGTGTAAGAGAACTTCTTTATGACTAAGAAAATCCTTTACTCACACTAGCAATGACCAGAGAAGAGGCAGGTCATTTTAAAGTAAAGTGGGACTTATTTTTAAAACCAAAACTTCTGAAAAATTCAGAACAACACAATTTGAAAAGGTAGCCTTTACTCACTCTGTGTCTGCTGTCACACTGCTTAAAGCACAGTCCAACAGCCCAACTCGATTTCTAGTTCTAGGATCCCAGCATTCCACTTTACCCTAAACAGTTTAGAAAATATGGTTCAAGCTTATGCAGCAGGTGCCTCATAGTCTGAAAACATTTAAATAAAAAAATGAATTATCTAATCTAATGAATAATTAACAAAATTTCCTAGGCTGACATGAGTTGTTCTAATAATGACATAACGCGCTGCACACGTTTCATTTCTAGTTTTTTCAATGCAATCTAAATCAAAATCACTAACACTAATTTTCTTAAGATTAATAGGGTACACATGCCAGCTAATTTCTACAGATGGCTACACTGCAAAATTAAAGAACATTATTTTTGCTCTCATCTGCAAAATCTCAAGCACTCGGCAACCAAGTAACTCTAATATTTTATCTGCACTATGCTCTTAAAAGTCATCTTTAACATATTTATACTTAACATAGCAAATGAGACCAACTTAATTAATTAGGTACATGATTTCTTCTTATCCTCCTGCAAGTTATTACAAAAATGAAACAAAATCTACTGCCCTTTTCATAAAAGGCATACAAGCATTTACCTCAGCCGTCCCCATAGCAAACAAGAAGTGTACAGGATTTATGTCACAGACATTACTCTCCCTACAACAGAAAAAGGAGCAAGTTTAATGACCTCAGAACAATTTAACACATGAACACCTAATAAGATTTCTGTAATCATGTACACTATTCCTCAACCTGGAAAAGCAAAAATTGGAGGGAGGGACAGATGGCCACATAACAACAGCTTCCCATATTTAGGGGGAGCTTACTAACAATCTGGAGCCAGAGACAGTGCTGATTACTTCAAACAGGTAAGGTTCCAACTGGATGTAAGCATAATATTTTTATGCTATAAGGATAATTAAGCAATGGAATGTGTTAATCATACAGGCTGGGAAATTTTTATCTTTGGCGCTTTCAAGACCCCCCTTAGAAAATTAATCTGAATTCACATGACGTGCCCTGAGCAGCAGCTTGGGCTCTGAGGTTCTCTGTGTTCCTCTGCCCTTATCCACCACCTACCACCAACACCTGCCTCATCATTCTGCTCCACTGTATTCTTAAACAACTCGATAGGACATGAAAAAATGGCCTCAAGATGTGCCAGGGGAGGTTCACATGGATTCTAGAAAAATTTTCTTCACTGAAGGGATTGCCAAGCATTGGAACAGGCTGCCCAGGGAAGTGGTTCAATTGCTGTCCCTGGACGTATTTCAAAGATGCGTAGATGAGGCGTTTTGGGGACATGGTTTAGTGGTGGACTTGGCAGTGTTGGGTTAATGGTTGGGCTTGATGATGTTAGAGGCCTTTTCCAACCTAAATGAATCTCTAATTCTAATTATGACAAAAGATCTTTATGATTACTTATGTTCTAAAGCTTACATCTCCAAAGTGTTCTGTCTGACCAATGGTCCCCTCTCACCCAAGTATCCTGTTTCTCAGCAGGGTACCCAAGAGCCCTGTATTTCAACAACAATTCTTCCAAAGTAAAAATATTTCTCTGTATACCACTTATCCCAGCACTTTCCAACTTCTATTCAAAGCCCTCTACCTCTAATTCTCATTAGACTCATCCAACTCCCTCACCTCAAAACCTTCTCACAACTTAAGTCTCACCTCTCTAATCCAGATTTTATCCTACACCCTTACCCCTTCCATTCCAGAATTTCCCCTTTTCTTTCTCCTGTTACTCAATTTTTTATTGTGTCTTCCCAAATACTTCTTCATCCATTAAGCTGTTCTGCCCACTGACAGCAGCTGTTGTCCAACAACAAGCCACTCTATCTAATGAAGTCTGTGCTTCTCATCTGCCTCTCCCCACATGAAAAAAGCTCAGTTCCTACTCTGGTAATGTTTTAAAAAGAATCAGACACATGCTGGAGATATAAAAATTCTCTTTGGGCTACTTCAAGAGCGGAAGGACAAAGACATGTCTGGGAAAGTACATACCCTGTGGGTAGATCTCTATATGATGGCTAAATTGAGTAATAATGGCGAAGTTTTAATGAAATGTTCTTAAGATCAAGTTATGTAATACCTATTTAGTCCATATTAAGCAATTTTAAAACATCCACAAAAGAAAATTCAATTAAACATAAAAACTAGAAGAAAAAAAATTACAGAACATAAAATAAAATGAGACTCAGACTCAGCATATGTTCATTTTCAATTCTGCAAAGCATTTGGGCAGTGTTCAGAGACAGTTCTGGTGGTGAGCATGCTAGAAGTCTGCTTCCACCTAGTGGAAAGAAGACAGAGGTCATGCATTACACAGAACTTACGAAGCTTCAGTTTGCAGGGAGTTCAGAAATCTTCCTTGTTCCAGATTTAGCCTGTAAACTTCAGAACTACAAAAGAAAAACCCAAAATTACTCTTGTGTCTTACAGATACTGAAAGACACTGCTGTAAATTTGGAGGCACTGCAAAGGTTTTTTTCACAGCCTAATTTTGCCAAATACACAATTTGCAGAATTTACAATTTGCAAAAAGACAAACATATACTTTGGTGTTCAAAATACAGAGAAAAATGTGCATAGTGACCATTTATTTATTTTACTTCAATATCCTAACAATTACTACTTTTCCAGGCAAAAGATACATTAATTCATTTCTCAAGATCTTTTAATTTCCTGTGATTTAAGTTACATCTTGAATTTCTACTTACTTTGTTTGAAACCCTAAGGATCTAATTTTATTTTTACTATGTCTTTTCAGAAACCAAATTATGTGATTTAACTCACACTTCACAGCAATAAAACACCAACCAGGATAGGAAAAGTTATTTAATTTTCCTCACTCCATCACTTTTTAAAACAATACACCAACATGCAGTTTTTAATACAAATTTGCAAATACATGATATACATGGTTTAAGAATCAAAGAAAAAAAGCAGATTAAAAATAGCATGGGAAACTGAATTAATTTTAATCTTCCCAAATTTTCCACTCTTCACCATCTCCATTATTAATATGGAAGGAATTGCCACTTCTTCCACTTTTTAACTTTTCTAATATTTTAATGTTCATTCTACTACTGGAAAACACTGCTAACAAAACTGAAACAAAATATTCCACTTAATACCTTGCTCCTACGAAATACAGGTCACACGATGGGTAGTGGTAAGAGAAATCTCTACCAAATTTTGGTATTCTTGTCTTGTAGTAATGGCCATGTTGTGAATGAAACTCCACAAATCTGCCACACTGCAAGAAGACAATCTGAAAGTAAAACAGAAAACACTGAAACATACGGAAACAAACAAGGATCTCCCCAACTTGTCTTACAGCACAAACTTCAGTGATTTTCTTTGTTTTTCAAATTTATGCAGGCTTATCCAAACTTATTCAAACAATTTCTGCTAAAATGACAGAATCAATTAGTGCTTCATCATTCGCACTAGCCACAGCAAAGAGTTTTGTTAATATACATTATATGAATGTTCACAAGAGTAAATGAGACACCCTGAAAGTGACACTGCAGTCAGAACCAGCACAATTAGCTCATGTTCTGCTGCACCAAAATTAACATTTCTACTTCCTTCAAGACACTACAGTTAGCGATTTCTTCCAGGTACAAAGCTGTGCAGACATCAGTAAGTTCACAGGTACTAAGCATGAGCTACACATCCTGACACACAGCAGCATTCCAATAAATGACACCAATGATCTTTCTGCATTTTTGTTCTTTGCCAACTGAGTAAGATCATTTTTTCTTTCTGAAACTTAAGACAAACATCTCAGTCCTGGAAAAACCTGCAGGGAGGCATTACCAGAGAGCTTAATCTACCTCAGTAAATAAATAAGCCAGGTCTTGCTGTTACACTCCTTATGGCAGGTTAACAGGGCACATACCCACAGGAAGGGATTCTTCCCCCTCCAGAGACAGGATCACCCACATCACCTGTTGCACTCAAACCATGGCACTGTGCAATGGAGGAACAGCTGGCTTGTCCCAAACTCATGCCATGCATGATAATCACAGCCAAACCTTTATCTCTGAGCCTCATCCCTATTTAGCTTGGATTAAAAAAGTGATACTTTAGTTTAGCCTGTGTAGTACATGCATCTTCTAAAAACAGTAGATAGTCAATATCTAAAGTCTTCTACCGCTGAATTACACTGTCAGCAATGCAAATAAGGATGAGAAACTCAGGAAAGGTGAGGTACGTAAGTTACTTTAAAGCTGTCATCTTTATTTATAAATCTGTATATTCTTCCCTTAAGAGACATGGAGAAAATACTGACCTGGGCTGGCACTTCATGCTTATTTATCATTAAGTTCCTCCTTACTTGTGTTCTTTTTTTGATACCAGAAACCCTAAGTGTTTCAACTTTTATTCATGGACTTACTCATCTTGGTCCAAGACTAAGCAGAGTATCATAATTCAGAATTCTAACCAAAATTTCATATTAAGTTACAGATACAGTTGCACAGCTAATGCTACACAGTGGTGTTGTTCATATACGTTGCACTTTATTTTTTGCCTAATGCCTTTATGCTTTTTCCTGGAGGCTTCAAACAAACAAAGCTCTTTACTCTTTTACAAATAAAGCTCTGTTCGAAACAATACTCAGACCAATCTTTTCTCTACTATCATTGCAGAAAAAAGAATGTCTGCATTTTTATGCAGTACAGAAGCTACATAAACTATAAGAACACAAAATTAAACCATATTTTATTTAAAAATATCAGTATCATGTGTTCTTAGTTCACTATCACTAAGTCATCAAAAACCTGTTTCAAGGAAGAAAGAAGATGCGGTTTACTTTCAATAAGAAAAGTGAATTTTCTTCTCACCCACTCTGCCTCCAAAAAGATTTTTACAGCTGCCAAAAGGATCCAAATATTCTCCTAATAACTGTCTTATCGCTAATAATTTTCTATTTAAACACAAATTTCTATAATATTGGGCTTGAATATATTTGTGTTCTCTTTCATTAGTAGTGGATACAGCTCACTGTAAATTGTGTTTGTCTTTTCTTTTTACTAAATTAATTTTGGTCACCACCAGAAAACTACAACCTGACAGTAGCAAAAGCACTGGCACTGGTGTGTGGCAAAAATACTACATGGAAATACAGGTCTCCTGGCAAAAAGCTGTGGAAAAAGAATAATACTCTCTCCCAAGTCTGAAACTTAGTCCAAGTCTAAGACTTTTAAGCCTAAAACTGAGAAAAGCACAGCAATGTAACTGGACTTACAGGTGCTAATCTGTATGAAAGAAAACAGGTGCTCTCACTGTGAAAAAGCAAACAAGCCTCAAAGCAACCTTACGGGGATGGCAGAAACAGATATGAGAGACACTATTTTCCCTGGCTATGAAAGGATACTCAGAGCGCCAACAGGGCTACCAAGACTGACAAGGGACAGAATACAGACAGTACCAAAAAAATCCCTCTCTGCAGTAGCAACAGTAAAAACTTGAGATTTTCCTGGGCAGGTTTGACAGGAACTAAAAATTCTTTATGATAAGGTAGAGCAGAATTGCAACAATTTATTCAGTAAATCTGTGGAACCACCATGCCTGCAAATTTTGCCAGAACTGTTCAAGCATTAAAATGATATTTTAAGGTCCCGTTCCAACTGATACTTCTATGATTCTTAAAATTTCATGTGTAATTTCTCAAATATCGTTCCCTCTTTCTAACATGTCCACAGAATTATGACAGCTACTTGAAGTTTATTTTTCTTTCTGATGATTTCTTAAGTTTTAGTAAAATAAAATTGAAAACAAGGATTGTATGAAGTTAAAACAGTAGAGCCTCAGCCTGAAATACAGCACCCATTTCAGCTGAAAACACACACTCCTTTCTGTTCATAACCAGTCAGAAACATCTGGGGATACAGCATGTTCCTCAGTCTCCCAAATGACTATTTGGAATGTACAGCCAGAAACATTTTCCACCAGACAGACAAGTGGGAAGCTACTGTAAAGTATCAGCCATTACCTTCTGCTACTTAAACTCATGCACTTCCTTGGAAATCTCACAGGAAAAATGTAAAACAGCTACAAGGCTAGATGATCATGTCTCTGATCAAATGGCAGTATTTATTAAAACAAACCTATACCTGAAATGGTAAGGTCTTTTCACAGAAAAAAAAAAAAAGCGCATAAAATAAACACTCAGGTGATTCCTCCAGGTACAGCAATTAATTAAAAAAAATAAATTAAAAAAAAGACATTACATCTCTCTGCAATTTTTGCCTCATTCATATGCTCATAATCATCATGCCTGTAACAACACTGACAAATCAGGTTGTTAACTTACCCACTGCTACCCCACCTTTCAAAAACAGTGTATGAGTGCATCACTTGTCACAAGGAATCGTGATTAAATGTTAGCCAGAAAGAACAGTTAATTCCATTTTTCATATTATTTTGCTTCTAGGATAGAACACTATTTGAAGCTTTTCTTTCCAACAGAAAAAAGACTTTAAAAGCACCAAAGCAAATTACAGTACAAAGACACAAAGAAAACAAACAAAATTTTAAAGGTACAAAAAATATTTATCCTGTTTGCTGTTTTTAAGAAAAATATTTCTGTTCCAAAAGCTGTGTTGATTGATTGCCTTTACTATATATGAAAATGCAGTTTAATATACTTACTAAACAACTTTTTCATTTATACACTGAAAGCTATTAAACATACCTTTGAGTAATCATCTGATAATATCTCAAACGTAACCACTAGAGGAGAGAGCAAGAGAATTTTGAGTTAACTAAGCAAGCAAACTTATTTGCAAACATTGGCATAATCCTGAAAACATTTACACTCATGCTAATCTTTAGTCATGTAATTATTCCCCACAGGTGTCAATGCATAATGTAGGCATTAATCTTTAGTAAGATCTCTAATGATGTAACTTGATTTGCAAAACCATAAGTAGCTTTTTAAAACTTTATAAACATATGAAATATCCTGTAATCTTTTTATTGTTCTTCTATGCTTGACACATTCCTCAACACAATGCTCAACCATGTATTTTATTGCTGTGGGAATGTCTAATCAAATGGTTTTCAGTGAGTGTCTGGTCCACGGAGCTTTGGTAATCCATCAAAGGTGATAAAAAATTACATGAGTTTGGACATATATGCATATAACTTGCATATGCAGACCTTCCAAGAGATCAGCACTTCCACAAAAGAAGTTCTAAGGCTCAAAAACGTCACAAATGTGGAAGCTACAAATCATGCTGAACACTAATGTATTGAACTACCTAGTTTTAATCAAGTGGAGTTGGGAACGTTAGGGAGTAGCTGCTCCAGCTAAATTGGTTCTATTTAAATGAGATAACTCATTTAAAGTTACCTGGAGTGACTCTATGCTAGACTTCAAATTAAACATACTTCTGCAGTCTACTAAGATGCCAGTTCAAAAAAATCTACTTTAAACTCTAATTAGCAGTAAGCATTTATGATTACAATGATTTCTATTCTTTTGAAGAGGGTTTCACTCTTGCTATATGTTCCTCACTCCAGCCTCTCTGAAACCCTGCCTAATAATGCTCCTTTACCCTACATGACTCCTTGTAGTCCTGAGGCAGAGAGCAAAGAAATACTCTCGTGCTCTTATTACAATTTTTATTTTTCACACCACTTTCATACACATCAAAGTTAAACCAGTTCAACTCTTCTGTAATGAATGTGCTCATTTTCTCACTGTTTTGGTTACCCCTATATCCCAGCTTTCAGTCATCAGTCTTCTAATATCCCAGTTTTCAAACAAAAAAACCTGAAGTAAAAACTCTCACACCCCACTCCCCCCCCAAAAAATCCCTAAACAATCAACCCCATAATTCCTCAAATTTAAGCACCCTAGAAGTTCAGAGCTCTGCCAGCTCCCACCCTCCTCTAACTGCCAGCTGATTCTCCCTTTCCCATTGTCTAGACGGCTCCTTATTTTCCTCATCACAGTTGTTCTCCCACCAAATTAGTAGCAAACAAGGTGTAATTAAGGCCTTGGCCATGCTACCATCTACCCCTAAGTACCTTGTTTCCAGAAAACAAACAGAAAATCAAATCAGCAAACAAACAAACCAATATGCCCATACAGGAAATTCTCTTTACCCTGTGATTCACCTACTGAGCTTGGGCTCCAGAGAGAAAACAGAGCAACCCACAGAGCATTCTCCTACCTTACTGCTTCACAGAACAGGTAAGGGAGATCTTGCCACCACCCAGCCATTGTACCTTTATCACATTCACCGAACAGAACACAGATTTCAGCCACATTCACCCTCTGAGCCCCACATTTTCTAGCTCAAGGTAAATCTTACATCCCTCACACCTGCTTTTTCAAGCAAGGAAAGAACTTTGAAATAAAAATAAAAGGGGAAAATTCAGAGACGAAGACTAGGCAGTTTAACTCTAGATTCTTGTGTTCCCCTGAAGTACATTCTGTACCTTCAGCACAGGGAGCAGAATTTCTGCTCAAGTCCAACCTGAATTATAAATGACAGACATCTTTACAAACAGCCATGGCTTATACTAACCTTCTGAATCTAAGCATCTTTCAAATTTCTGGGATAACTGAAAGGTATCAAAACAGCGGACCCTGGGCTTGTAAGTTCCTGAAAGAATAATTTGATGTTTAATTAAATAAAAAAGTTAAACAAAAAGATAACACAAAAGTTGTTTTTTTTCTTTTAAGTATATCATACATATGGCTTTACTGTGTTTCTACTGTAAGTCCTCTGATCTTCCCAAAGCCTCTGTGACTGGAAAAACATGCCTCTTAGTAACACAACTTTACAGCCTGGTTTCTGCAAGCACCCATTGTATGTAGGTTCTTCTAACTACCAGATACATCATACAGAATCTAGTAACACCTTCCAGTAAATTTGAAAGACCTACTTAAGTATTCATGCTTGGATCCCATTCTGACAGTTACAAAATGCAGCATTATCCTCCTCCTCCTACAAAACAATACTCAAACTATGATGTTCCAAAGTTATTTAACATATGCGCAAGAAAAGTAATTCAGAACTTAGTATTTAACTGTATTATAACAGATCTGTTTTATTAGTTTTTTATTTGGCAGCAGGGGGTTTGGATTAGATTATCTTGAAAAGTGCCTTCCAACCCAAACCATTCTACGATTCTAAGAATGTATGTATTCTAAACAGAAGTGTTCCACAGCTCCCAAGACAGCTGTTCTATCACATGTTAAGAGCCAGCTTCCAGCAGAACGTTCACTTCCACACTTTAAAAGGAACTGTTACCAATTCTACCTGGAACACTAAGTCACTCTGCACCCAAGATTACCTAGGACTTTTGGCCTCTGTTAGACAGTTTGTTAACTCACCAACTGCCATAATATACTGTCCATCTCTCGATACCTTAATCTTTGTGCTAACTGTGGGCATTTCAAAGTCTTGAATAAGTTCAATTCTTCTACGGATATCTGTAAAGAAAAAAAAAATTGTAGAATTAGCACAATTCTATCAGTCAAAAAAATTGTAATGGTTTCCTAAGGAAGCATGATGAGTTAATTGACTATAGGGAATATCCTTTAGAGATATTATAACTAACATATTATAAGCAGATTAACACAGTCTGCTAACCCTGAGAAGCAGACTATCTATCTCTGTGTAAAATAAATTAGTACTCCAAGGTAACTGTGTAACAAGTTATTATGTAATGTAGTAGTAAATACTCATTCCACACCTACACAATTAAGGCCTTGTATAAGGTATTCCATGCTCCATTACCTCTATGTATTTTTTTTCTTGGTTAAGTGTCTTGTATAACACTTCCTGTGTTATATAGCTTTCATTAAAAAAATAGCTTTTTTTTTTTATTTTGTGTAACAAGCTTAGGCTAAAATGATGTGGTCCTGCTCTAAGATTAGCACAGCATCACAGCGGAGTTTATGGTCTGCTTTTAACATAACAACATGGAATTCATCCATCATGTTTCTGTTACAATCCACAACCCAAATATTTAATGTCTAGAATTTAAAACACCACTGGTTATACAGTGTTCATGTGAAGCTATACAAGAAGTTGAAATAACAATCTGTAGTTTAACTCTCTAGTTTTTATATTATGAGTTAGGGATAACTTCTGTGTATCAGTCAGTGAGAAGTCTCCTCTGGATGTGCACTGATGTACGTGGAGTAGCTGAGTATAGCTGAGCACCCTGCGAGGGGAAAACTCACCCACATCTTTCTTCTGTAAAGCTCTTTTCTTCCTGTCAGAGAGCCACTGCAAGCAAAAGTATACATCAGTCTTGAGCTCATTGTTCATATAGGAACTCGAGAATCACTTAAAGTTTAACCAACCATTTTAAATCTAAGACACTTAGGCCGCTAATTCTTTTGTTGTTGTTGTTTTTTTCCTTGATTATCTTCTAATTTCATTCCACCGGTAAGTTTAACCATTCCACACCAAGAAAACTTACAAAGTCGTGTTGCTTACGGGTCTATGGACCAGCACCGCTACACTCAGAGGTGTAGGAATTCAAACTGCATTTCTAGTTCAAGAAACACTCAGAGCTGTTTCTCGGTAACGATCCCAGCACAGTCGCACATGGACCGGGGCAGCTCAGCCGGGCCGGGCCGGGGCTCGGCCCCCGCGCCGACACCGCGCGGATCAGCTCCCGCCGCGGGACCCGGGCCGAGCCGGGCCGGGCCGGGCCGGGCGCGTTCCCCCCGCCGCACTCACCTCTGGGAGGCTCCTGCCGGCGCTCAGGCTGTAGATCTTCACCTCGTTGAGGCTGGAGACCTGCATGGCCGCAGCTGTGCCCGCCTCTTCCCGGGCAGAGGGGAAGCGGAAGGCGAGCCGCTTCCGCCCGCTCGGCCTCAGCCGGCGGCGTGCGGGGCCTGGCGGGGAGCGCGTCCCGCGACCGCGGCTCTGCCCCTCCCTCACACGGGGGAGAACGGGGGAAAGACAGCAAAACCGCGGGACAATAAGGTCCGCTGGCTCCGCAGCTCGCAGCAAAACGGCTCCGCTGCTGCCTCCTCCCTGGGCGCTGCCCACGGGCACCGCGCCGCGCAGCGCGGCGCTGCCAGGACTCGGGATGTGCGGAGTGGGCTGGAGCCGGGACAGCCGTGTGCCCTCTCCCGGGGCCCGGCCTGTGTCCGGACACAGAGCCCTGTCTGCCCCTCACGGGTGTCCGTCAGGCTGTGATGTCATTCTCGATGGTTTTCATGTGAACTCAGGAAGGCAGAAGTTGTTCTGGCAGCCTTGATGGAGAAGGTTGATTTTGTCACACTGTGGGCAGACTGTGTCCGTTAGCCATGGAAAAGTGAGTTCAGGATTTGCTGATCAGAACCTTGCCAGCAACCACAGAAGGACACATTGTTATTGCTCTGTGGCATTGCTGTTGGAAAACAAAAACCCCACAACATCCAGAATTTCAAGCATTCTCGTTCCAATTTACAGGAGCAAAATCAGGGACTGAAGTAGTGTACATCCAGTCCATAAGCATGTTGCAGAAACAATGAAAGTCACAACTAAATTTTTAACAGTGCAGAACTCTGGCACAAAGTGCAAACTGAAGCAGTTTCAAATAAGTCTTATGCATGGTGTTACCTGAATGATGTATCAAAATAACAATATACCAATATCATTACTAAAAAATGCTCTGTTCTGGGTTGTATTAGAGAGTTTTAGAGCTGAGATTCCTGGGAGATGAGCACACCTATATATCAGTACCTGTAGGATTAAGCTAGGTGTTTAAGCTCTCATTTCAGAAAGCTAAGGCTTTACTTACTTATGTGTAGGTTGTCTTGTGACATTTGAGATGCCATATGGTATCCAGGGCACCTGGGTGGGGCTGACACAAGATCTGTGGAAAATCCAAACCTTTCTGCAGTGTAATCTGGAGGCAGGCAGGATGTGCAGGGACATCTCTAGTGGCAGTAGAAGCTGAGGCAGCTGAATCTCATCCCTGGTAAATGCAGTTAGTGAAGCACAAGGAGTGTGATGCAGCAGGCACTGGGTGTCTTCTGTGGGGTCAGTTTGGTCAGGTTCCACAGTCTTAGAGCACCATGAGCTGTTAATAGGCATTTAAAGCTGAATTGGTCACTTTTCCACAGTTCTGGATATTGTAAGGAATCCCAGACATTCATGGGGGGTTGGTTGATGTGACTTGGGATGTGCAGAAGACCTGTGTTATCCTAGAACACCAGCTTGAAGGCCCAACAGGATATTCCAGGGCACCTCAATAGGCATTCAGCAGCATCAGATGTCTGAACCCACAAGAAATTCCTAGAGGTGTAGAACACTGGAGCTAGCAGCTTTCCTTCTAGTGTCAATGTTATAATTATCTAGGTAATTAATTCTGGTTATCTGTTTGGGAAAGTTGTCTTGGGAGATACTTCAAGTAGAGTATTTCAATATTCTTAAAGACTGTTCAGAGGCAGAGTTTTGCTCCCTCAGTGTGGCACCTGAAGAAGTACTCACTAATACTGAGAGGCAAAGTCACAGAAAAGTTCATTGCTTTGGTGGATCAAAGGGAGCAGAAAGACACGTGATGATCATGAGGGAATTAGACAGCTCTGAGATCACATGGCATCACATGCCGGGCCAGCCAGGGAAATGAGCTGGCAGAGCTGTGTTACCACCAGACTGCAGCACTTGTCCCACAGCATGTGCTGCCTGCTCCTTCCCCTCCACCGCTGCCTCATCTTAAAAATACGTAATGGGGTAAAAAGAAAAAAGTTTGAAAAGTCACAGTAAACCAAGAAAATGTGATAATAGAAAACATTCAACAGGACGTTGCTTAGACATTAGCATTGTGTTTTCTTGGAAATTTTCTTTTAAAACAATTAGTAGCATAAAATATTTCACTTTAATAATAGTAAAAATGCCATATTAAAAAGAAAAATGGCATTTCTGCTATAAAAATGTTCAGGAATTAAGTAGTGTCTATTGTAGAATCCAGAAATCCAACAACTCTACAGCTTGGATTTTACGTTATTTGTTAGAACATCCATGTGTACAGAAAAACATTCCTAAAATCTAGCACCACTGCAGCAAGAAACTTTTCTCATCTGTTAGCCCTAGGTTCAATTTACATGATTCTAAATTTAAGGAGATTATGGGAATGTAGCGTTTCTAAAATTAATCATGCAAAGCATTTCCACAGCTTGAGACTGCAGCAAGGATCCAGTGAAAACTGTTTCTTGGTTTGAGATGAGAAAGAACTCCCTTATCTAGGTGATCAGGTCTACTGTACATTTCTGACCTGAAAGCTGTTGGTAAAGGTATATGATGTAGATATTTAAAAGTCAGTTAAGTATGTTTTCATTATTAAAATGTATAGTCTAAGGAGACAAACGAAAAAGAAGGATTAGACAATAATCTTAAATAATAAAAATCTTAATTAATAAATTAATTAATAAATCTTAATTAAATAATCTTAAATAATAAAAAGAATGCCATCTCACAGACCAATATGTTCATTTTTTTCCCATAACTTCTGGAAAACCCTTTGTCATGCCCTAGGGGACACTATGATTGAAAAGAATTAGAATCACAGCAGTTATGAGAACTGAATATTTAATTAGCCCTGAAATTAAAAAAAAACAAAAACCAAAAAACCCAAAAAACAAAACAAAACCAACAAAAAAGCAAACCAAAAAACCCCATGAAATGGTTATTTCAGCTACAAACCTCAGTGTCTTTTTCTGGAGTACTTTCAGTAGAGACTCTCCTCCTCCACACATGTATTGCTTTTTTATATATCACTAAAAATGTTAAAGAGAAGCAAAGGAAGATGAATCCTTGGCTAACCTAAAGAATCTATAAATTTAGGGCCTAAGACCTTGACCAACCTTGACCTTTAGTTACCTAAAGCATGATTTACATGGCATCATTCAGGATGCCTTGCATCAGCTGCTTCTTCCTAGAGCTGAAGACACTTAAGTCTTTTAGGGGTCTTCACTTAAGGTTCTTGGATGTGTCAAGAGCTCTTCTTCTGTGCGTGACCAGACCTACCTGGCCCCAGCATCTCAAACCCTCTCAGTTTATGACAGGTTGTGTAGAAAACTAAGAGCATCCTTGTGTTTAATTTCTTGTAGGGGCTTCATTTACTTTTGCTACAGAGAAACATGAGTTAAAAATACCCCATTTTTTAAAGAAAATAAGCCCCCAATATTAGCAGAGACTGCCTAAGTGCTGGATGACAGCACAGGAATTGGACCACTCAACTGGAAGATGAGAACTGGATAACCCCCAACAAGGGGCCTTGATCCTTGCAGAGATGCCTCTCAGAGGCAGGTACTGGGTGTTTAGACACTTGTTACCTTCAGAGCATGCCTGGAATTAGAAATGCCTGGAGAACATAATTCCACATAATCTGTGAAATACTCCCAAATGTCTTAACCAAGCTTATGGCAATGTAAGACAAGATTAAGATTTGGTAAGGACTAAAAGCCGCAGCTACACATGAAGGAAGAAGCATCACCAGGAATGTAAGCATCACTATTTTGCAGACTCCTGCACTGCATATTTGTTAAATGAAGCACTCAGGGAAGTCCCGGAAGCAAGAGTTTCTTAGAAGTTTCTTTAATTATTCCAAAACCTTCAGATTTGCTAAAGGTAGTCAATGTTTAATAAAAACAAATGGCTTCTGCATTATTTGCGCCAGTTTAAAAGACAGCAAGAAGATGCAAAGCTGCCCTAGTCAGAGCTGTGACAGAGCTTTTAGGTCACACGGTGCAGCAGCCCCCTGTGCTCCGTGAGCTCCCTGACCCAACCCGTGGATGCGGCGGCCGCCCCGCGCCTGGCTCCGCTCCGCCCCGACCCTGCCCGGCCGCCGCTCCGGGCATGTCCGCGCCGGGAGCCGCCGGGAGCGGCGCGGGCACGGGCAGCGGCGCCTGCGGGCACGGCAGGGGCAGGAGAGGCAGCGGGCAGGTAAAGCAGCGGGCAGGTGACACAGCGGGCAGGAGAAGCAGCGGTCAGTGCCCCGCGGAGCCCCGGCAGCCCCCCACAGCCGTGCTGGCAGCGCTCGGGCACGGCGGGGCCCGGCGCGGGGGCCGAGGACCGCACCTGCCCTGTCCCGCGCACCTGAGAGCGAGGGCGTGCGGCGGGGATGCTCCGCGGGAGCTCTCGGGGAGGAACGGAGGATTGCGGTCTGGTGCCAGCTACTCGCTCTTCTGCCCTTATCTCTTTGCTTCCCTCTAGTAGTTGTCCCTCTATTCTCGCCACACTTCCATCTGTGTGGCTCTGCCGATACCGTCCCTGTACGCCAGGACTTGCCTTCCTCCAGCTCCTTCCTATCGAGGAGATAGGACTTCCCTATCTTGGGAAGGAAAAACATAGAGGAGAGCAAAATTCCTTCTTGCCAGTGGTATCTTTTGCGGCCTCTGTGCTCAGCAGAGGTCTTCCTTTCATTTTTCCTTGCAAATATCCAACAATGTGAGAGAGAATATTTATCAAGCAGAAATTCTTTATTACATTTGGGTGGTTCGGTGAAGCCCCCAAGCTCCCCAATAGGCACTGAAGTTAAAGTGCAAGGCAAATGGAACAGGCTGGGAGGGAAAAGGGGAGGAGAAAGCTTAATTTCTTCAGGCAGAAACTGGATGGAACAATCCTGAGAAGGAAGGAACAGCCACACTCTTTCCATGACATTCTGGAGAAGGTCATGTTCCATTTCAGCCTGAGACACAGAACTGACTCACTCTCCTGGTGTTTTTGAAGAAAAGAAATCAGTGATCTGTTCTAACTCTTTCTGTTCTTAGGGAAGAACACATTTTGTGTGGTGCTCTTTTAGCCACTTACCTGCTTTGAGTTTCTGCAGTGACCAGCAGTGACGTGAAAATATTAGATCATGTCAGAGTTCTGGCTAATTTCTGCCCCGGGAGACAAAACAAATCTGCAGGCATGGGAGAGAATGAACACTGTGACATCTAAATCCAACCTGTCCAGCAACAGTAAATTCCATATTCCAGACTTAAAGGTAAGTGAGGAAGGGGTTTGTGTATGGGCAATACAGCAGCATTGGCCAGGGCTAAATTTGGGATAAATATGGAACTTATCATTTGGGATAATGTGCAGACAGTAGAAGGAGACTGTGGTTGGGGGATGAGTTGTGTTCAGTCAACTGAAAATTGATCACAGAGAAATACGTAATTGTGCCTGAAGCTGAGCTTCACATTGGAAGTGTACATGTATAAGGAGCATGAGTTGTTGAATATGTTATTCATGACGTATTCATATATGAATATGTTGAGATGTTAAATAACTGATCTATTGCATTCCATGTACAATTTGCTCCTAGTCATCAAAGTAATACATGCATTGCTAATGCTGACTATCCACAGCCATGACTGCAAGATTACTGACAGATAAAAGACTGTTGCTTTTTTGTATGCACACCTGAGATTGATATGATTTTTATCATCCATGGACCTTATTTTTACCATCTGTGGACCTTACCCCACTGGGGTTGGTGAGAGTCTTCTTATGTTGAAGGAGGTAAAGCATTTGGAGTATCTGAAGATGCCCATTCACATCCTATTTGTTCTACATAAAATTTGTTTCTTCTCCCTTAGATTGACCCTACACAATGTTGAGCTGGCAACATTACACGAAAAGGTTTGGCAATATGCTGCAATACCATAAATATGGGGTTATGACTGACAGTGATTCAAAAAGCAGATGTTGGTCAGAAATGACATTGTGAGAGACTTGCTTTGGTAATAACAGAGAACACAGACAGACACCCCCTTTTGAATAAGTGCTGCTTCCCTTTGTTCTCTCAGTACATCTGACTTGTTTGTATATGTGCTTTATTTGTGTGCATTTCCAGTCACTGTTTTGTCTGGTTGAAGACTATTCTATGCAGCTTGATGATAGAGGATGAAGTGAAAACAGGAAGAAAGACACTGATGTGTAATCTTGAGACTACACATACTTTTTCCCTTTATTGGAAAGGGATTTTTATGCCTTAGTTCTTGGGCAAAGGAATTGCTACTATTTTCCACCAAGTAAATAAAGGTCTGCCAAACTGTTGAATTCACATGTACTGAGGACAAGTCAGTCTCCTTAAGTCTCTGCCTACAAAAGCCTTAGACAGAGTTGTGGATCTTTCACCTAATTCTCATCTTTTACACAGGTTGGCACACTGGATGCTCTTGTTGGTCTGTCAGATGAGTTGGGAAAACTTGATAGCTTTGCTGAAAGGTAAAATAAATCTTATTTACCACCTACAAATGAGAAATGTCATTGTTTTTATGGGATGATATGTCCTTGTGTTCACCTCGGTCTGACTCAGTTCAGCCTGGACTACAACTGGACTAAAGTGGTTAGGCTTTGTTTAACCCCTCTGTTGACTGTCATGGAGTTATCATAAAGTAAGGATCATTCCTTAAAATTTAGCTGAATAGTAGCTTTGTCAGCACAGCAATCCATTCAAATGGCACTGCTAGGGAAGCTGTTTCTCATAAGGAAACTACTTCAAATGGTGGGTTGTAGGGTTATTTTGTTCTGTTTTGTGCTTTTGTTTTTGTTTTAAAGAACATCCTCCCATCTCATCCAGAAACTTGATAAAGCAACACTTAGAGAAGGTGAAGCCCTTCCTGATTTTGTTTTGATAGAATATTTATATTGAACCTTTTATCCCTTTTCAACTAGATAGAGGACTTTTAAGGATTATATTCTTTTGAATGAAGTCCAGACCTCTCCCTCTCAGGCTTTTAAACTCCTTAAAAAACAGAATATTGACTCATATTGCATCAAACCTAATTAAGCAAAGACTCACATGATCTGCTTGATGACAATTGGCAAGTTTGTCTTTTGGGACAAACTGACCTGGGTGTACAAAAGAATGATGTGCAAGCTGAGAAAATGCCAAGTTTTAAGATAGTATATGGCACAAGGTAGACTTTGAGGCAGTGAAGGTTTAAGCTGCTGGGTTTTTCTGCTTTGATCTATTTTTTTGCTTTGGCAGCTTACCTCACATGTAGTTTTGGTCACAGAGACATGCATAAGCTTTGGATCTTTTTGCCTTTTTTCTCCCAGTCTGGACTGATAAGCATTTTCTTTTGTCTAAATATGCTCAATCCTTTCATAGATCTCTGTGTGGCAGTTGCAAAGATATACAGAAACCCTGATATAAACTGTATGCATCTATGCTAGGCAGTTCAGGTGAAAGTTGGTCTGCTAGAATACATTTCTCCATATTTTATTTTTTTTTTTTTCTGATTGTACTGATGCTACATAAGGGTTGTATTAGAATGATTGCATCTGATAGATAATTCTGGGTTGCACACAAGATTGATCTTTTAGTATCATAGAATATGATTCATATCTTGAGTTGAAACAGACCTATTACAATCATTGAGTCCAACACCCTGCTCCTCACAGGACTACCTAAAACTAAACCATACTGCTTTTCTGTGACTTTAAGCAAGACAGAGCAACTTAATTTATCAACAAAACCATCTCCATTGTGACCCTGCCAAAAATACTGCCCCATATTCTTTGTAGCATGTTCCAGCTTCTTCTTCACTGGCAGAAATTCTTGAGGAAGTGGAAATGGGGGCAAATTTGGGGAGAGACAGTGCAAATACATGCTGTCTGTTCTAATGGAAAGTGTTCGATGATCCCTGTGGATTTCTTCCAACTCAGAATATTCTGTGATTCTAGTGTCTTTAGTCAGGGTGGCAGATAGGAAGAAACTGTGTGATCTGGGTTTGAGGGCTTCCAGAAATCATCAGAACTGATTTTTCAGAAAGGCATAACTAATCCCCAGGTTTGTGAAGAGTTAGGACTTCTGAAAAGCTGACTGCAGAATCCATGTAAGACCATGGAAGGCAGTTAGAAGTGAAATATCTGTTGGAGCTCCTTAGGCTCACTGACTCCTTCTGTTATCTTTGTCTGTACTTGCCAACACGATACAGCTGCCTGCTCAAGCTGAACACCACTTTACTCCACTAATTGTCCCTTTAATGCCAGTAATGACTCTTACCCTCTGATGGGCTCTAGGCATGGAGCAGGAGGGTCAGTGAGGCCCTTCCACTGTAATCTGCTGAGGCAAGGTCTCTTCCTGTTTGTCTCATTTGCCTGTCAAGATAGGTAACCATTAAGATTTAAATATAAGAAAGAGGTTTTGAAAAATAAGAAAAATGCATTAGAGTAGTAACATTCAAGTAGTAACAGAAAATAACAGAATAGTTGAAGGTATTAGCAGATTGAGTCCCACAAGGACATACAAAATAGTTTTGTCTTAAATAAATCCCTCAGGTTTTATGTCTACATTGTGATTCAAGGGTTAAAATGCCAAGCACTCGCACTTGGTTGAAGTAAATGGCATCCAGAGGGTTACAAGCCTTCTTCAGATGACCTGAGCATTTATATTCCTGGTCCCATGAAAGAGCTGCCTGCTGAACTGTTGCTGGATAAACACAGCTGCCAGTAACGCCAGGCAGCACAAACCTGTCAGCACTGCCTCCTGCCAGGACAGCAGAGAAGGGGCAAGAGTTTGCAGGAGCTATTGTTTCCACATACTTTTATTATTTATTTACACAGGGAGGAGGAGTGTTTTTCCATGTCATCCTGTGGTGGCATGGAGCTCTCTCAAAAGCTGGCAGTCTCCTGGGTCACTCTTACCCGGGGGTTCTCTCTGCTCCTCGGTCAGTGGCATACTTGGGAGTGGCCTCAGATTGCAGGACTTCTGCTCCCTGCGGTATTTCAGAGGCCTAGTGGATAGCACCCTTTCTTTCTCACTATCGCCTGAAGAGTGCTAGACTTTTTTTTTTTTTGGAAGCTAATGACATGGCAGGGTTGCAATCAGATTGCAGAGCCAAAACATCACAGTCTCAAGACATAATAGTAGGTTAAATGGAGCTATTCCCTTTATAGATTTTTATTACTACTTCTTGAAGCAGTTTTGCTGAAACTCTTTATAATGCATCATTTGATCATGACATTTGCTCAAGATGGGATTCATCTCATCTAAAGGCAGAGATCTGATGGTTGGCTGTGAAAGCTTCCCGTTGTTGGATGTCAGTGTAGTCAGTGGGGTTCCTCCAGGAGTCTGATTCCTGTCATTTGTCCCAGACATCAGTGGTGTGGAGGGGGTGGGTTCTGTCTGCACAGGAAGTGTATTGGGTGAGTGAATCCCGCTTGCATGTCACAGGATGTGCACAGAGGCTAAGGCAGGACTGGAGAACATTCCTCTGGCACAGTGTATTACACATGATGTGGCTGTATCCTGCTGCAGGGACCACAGGATGCGTGGGTGGGAAGAGAGCCAAGCCCTGCCTGGGCAGGTAGGACTGTCAGGTGCATGAGAGCACACACCTGTCCCACCCTTTGTATCCATGGAGAGAGGCCAGAGCTGTCTCCCACCTGTCAGGTCAGCCACCAGATGCACTCAAGAGTAATGAAAACAGCTCAGGCCCTTTGGAGAAGCTCCTGGTTTACACATGTTCCTTTGAACTACTTTCTCTATAATGTCTTTAGCCTTCTGTTATGGTTTTACCAACGCTGTCTTGTTGCAAGTTCCTTTGGGCTCTCTGAGCATTGTGAAGGAGACAAAAACCAGCTTTATTTACAAGCTGAAATTTGCAGAAGTGCTTGGCAAGGTTGCAATTGTCAGGGAACCTCTGTCTGGATCCCTCAAGCCCCCCACAGCCTGAGTGTGGGCAACACTTGCTGTACTCCAGCAACCCCCAGCTGCTGCCGGGTCCCTACAGGGCTGCAGCCAGGTGGTGAAATCTGCAGCAGCTCTGAGAAAGGGATGTGAACTGGAGCACAGTGGCATAGATTCCTCCTACAGGCACTCTGAACTGCGCCTGTCCAGGGTCATGAGAAGAATGATTTGGGTTGAAAGGGTACTTTAGAGATCCTCTAGTTCCAACCTACTGCCATTGGCAGGAACATCTTTCATTAGACCAAGCTGCTCAAAGCCCTATACAACCTGGCCTTGAATGCTTCCAGGGACTGGACATCCACAACTTCCCTGTGCAACCTGTGCCAGTGCCTCATCACCTTCATAGTAAAAAAGTTATTTTTTTATGTCCAGTTAAAATCTACTCTTAGTTTAAAAGTGTTGCCTCTTGTCCTGTCACTACAGGCACTGGTAAAAAGCCTCTGACCAACTTTCTTATAAGAGCCCTTTATATACTGAAAGGTGACAAGAAGATCTTCTCTTCTTCAGACTGAATTTATCCCAAACAGCACAAATTTTAAGTACTGCATTCTTGACAACATTAGAAATCTGATTTTTCCTACCTGTCATAGGACTCGAAAACCTTTCCCAAGACTCTAAGTTTCTTCACAATAACAGAGATAGATGCAATTGCTTTGCAGCACATGAAAGAAAAATCCTCTTCTCTGATGCTTTCCTGGAATCTATACCTTGCCCAAAGTCCCTTTCCTGCTCTTGAAAACCACAGGATTGGTCACAGCAACACATCTTGTCCAAACACTGTAGATGCCTTTTCAGTCTCCAGCTCATCTGCAGCTATAGTAGTCTCCCCTCAGTAAGGAAAGATAAATGAAGCAGAAATGAAGCCTGCTGTTACTCTCTGTGTCACAATGCCAAGGATTGTGTCCACTTCGTGTCTCTGCTAGTTTAATGGTCAGGCAAGTAACCTTGTAGCTGCTGGGTTTTTTTACAAAGTGTAGTCAATCTAGGACAGCTAGGGAACTGCAGGCCAAATTCTGTGAATATTTTTGAGTGTAAAAGGATACTTAAATAACCAGAAAGTATCTCATCCTGTATGAGACAGGTGCTTTGACTAGAGACAAGGGGAGCTACTGCTAGAAGGATTTGATTAATCCATTTCTTAAAATAAGCAAAGAATAAGTGGCACAGTGGAGACAGTGTTCTCTAGGAGGGCCTCTCTACAAATCACTACTCTGAATTGGACAGAAGGATTTGAATCTAGTTCTCCTACACCTTAAAGGAGTGTCTTGTTCACCATGCTAAAAGAGAAGAGAAAAAGAGTCCTGTAAGAAAAGGAATAAGAAAAAAAAATCCCCATGAAGCAAGATAACACTGCTATTTTCCCTTGAGTATTTTCTGAGAACCTTTTCTCAGTGAACTCTAAGGACTTTTTTAGCATCCTATGGAACAGATCTTCAGTCAATGTCTGTATGTAATCTCCTTTCCCTAAATTTCCTTGGGGGTTTTAAACATGAGTTTCTCACCTTTCTTGCCTTCTGGTTTCTGCTATGTGTATGAGTGTACAGAAGACTGAATCTTGATCTTTTGTAAGTCCAGAGCACAGGCAAAATGATGTTACCTATGTTTTTGCCAAGATCAGTGTATTTAAAGGGTCTGCATTGTGTCCTAGATTTTTTTATTTTTCTGAATTGCAAACTAACCTGCTCTGCTTCAGAAGTTTTTTATTTGTATATTTCTGTGTTTATCAGATCACTGTGAATCTGTTTTGTAATAATTTTGTTTCTTCACTAACGAAGTTTCTCTTGTTAAGCGTAATAAGGAAAATAGCCCAGTACATAGGAGAAGTTATGGAAGACTCAAAAGATAAAGTCCAGGAAAACCTTCTGGCCAATGGAGGTAGGTGCTGTGAATGTGGGGGTTTAAATGCATTGATGCTGCTTTTGCTTGCTTCAGAATATGAATATGTGAAATTGAAACCCACACACTTTAGAAAGAACAACCACCAACGACATTTTATAAGAACATGTCTAGCCTGCTCCCATTTTTCTCAGCAGAAGCTAACTTTGGGGTGAAGATGAAAGTAAGAGACATCCTTGTTCACTCCTAACATGATCTAGCACATTTCTGTGCCCTGACTGGGCTTGACTTCTTAAGGGCACCTAAATCTCATTCTGTATGGCTATGTGTCAACTGTCAGTGATCTGTCAGTAATTTGCATACCCCAGTTATTCTGGAAAAATACAATAAAATTGGATGTGGTATGCATGCTGATTACAGACTTGCAGCATAATGCTTTTGGATAAACTAAGAGTGTACACTCCATTTCCCTTTTCTGCAATGTTGTACTTCAGACCTGTATTAGTAAAGGATGGGGAGGAAGTTCTCTTAGAAATGTCCTGATGTTTGATGGGTGCAACTGTTTGAGAAATACAATAATCACACTTACTGTGTTTCAGGGCTAAAGGATAAAATGAAATGTCTCCAAAGTATGTTGAGAACTGATGGTTGTGGTGTTGTTGCATGCATGCATTTGTGTATATTAGTGCTAGACACAAGTCTTGGTCTGGTTGTAGAGATACAGTGATCAGGTTACGATGGATTTCTCAAGTAACAACCTCGTAGCTTGATCACAATATCCCTATGACTTGAGTAACAACAGGTTTTGTTAATTTTTTTTTGTTTCCCCTTTTTACACCATTTTTTTCCCTATCAGCTCTGCATGTGTTGTATTAGAAGGCTATGGAAATTACTTGCATGTCTTACTAATTTCCTCTGTCTGGGTTTGGTCATCTAAACAAATCATATTGAATTAGGACATTAACCTTTTTAAAAATTATTGACTGCGTCTTAAAAAATGAAGTCAGCTTTAGTATTATGAGGATTCCCCTAATATTCCTGTGTCAGTCTTCATAAGCATCAGCAAATTTACTGTACCAATTCTTCCTCCTTCCCTTCCTTATTAACAAAAGAATTATAAAGTTGAAGGCTTCCTTGAGGTTGTGAAATCAGAAACAAAATTGTAAGACACAATTTCTTGCTGCATGGTCCTGTTTCATACTGTTCGACCATACCAAGGCTTTACCATGGCTTTAAGTAACACTGACTGTAGCTCAGTTGTATATAACCCCCAAAACAGTTTGGTCGTGGCTGTGTGTCTAAAAAGTTTTTTGCTATATTTGTAGGAAAAAAATTGCAAAGTAGTAAAAAATACATCACTTTTAGTTACATGAACTTGCACACACACACATACACAGACACTCAACTTTCCAGTGGACAATGGTTGAAAGCAGCCACATGCAAATTTCTCTCTTAGAGGGGGAAATGTGTGCTTGTGTAATATAGAAACTTCTAATATATCATTACAGCATAAACAACCTTTCTTGAAATGTAAGTAAAGCTTTTCTTCAAAGATCCATACCAAATTTTCATCCATTTATGGAAATGTTTAACCTAAATTAATATTAAAATTTGGTAAGTGGTAGAATAATTCCATTCTTTATCGTAAGCCCAAAACAAAGCAAAATGGGAAAAATAACAATTTTGAAGAATTAAGTGTTTTGGAAAGGAAGTATTTAACATTGCATTTTAGAGCTGGGTGTGTAAGATAGTTTATGAGACATTCAGGCTGTGGGTTCCTTGGGCAGCTGTGAGCTGGTAGGAATCATCTGTCCTGGGTGGGCAGCTTTGTGAAGCCTTTTGGAAGTGACTCGACAGGATCCATAAATGAGGGATGACATTCCAGGAGCATCAGGGTGCTGGGGCTGCTTGGCATTTTAAACACAGCTCTGCTAGTGTGTTGACAGTAGTTTGTGCCATCCCCAAGGTTAGGCTGCTTAACTAACCTGCACCAGTGCCAGCTAGCACTGGCAAGCTCACTCAGGAGTGAGTTTGAGAAACCGGGCTGAGAACTCATGCTGTGCTCAACTGGCCAGCATTTGGATGCTGCTGAGATTCAAGAAATGTAAGGATAGAAAGGCCATGTGAAGTTCTTCAGGGAACTTTTATCTCTCTTCAGCTATAAATAGGTCAGTGTCTGCCTTTAAAGAGCCTGTGTCTGCAAAGCCTACACACATGAGCTTAGAAGAGAGGCAGCAGGGTGAAATCTTTGTGTTCTGTACCCCGTGCTGAAATGCTGTGTGAACTTTGTTGCTGAAGTGCTTTTGACCTCTCTGCCTTCCCCACAGAGATCACGAGCAAGCGTCAATAGAGAGCTGTGCATGCAGCAGCTGTGTCATAGCTCTCCTAATCTTCTGCAGTGTTGCCCCTTTTCTACACCCTCCCTGTACAGGAGAATTTGCTTGTTCCTGATCAGATATTAGCAGGAAGGGTTGGATCTTTGCCCTATGACTCTTGTCCATTGGATGTGGGGGTCATTGACACAGCTGTGGTTTTCAAAGAGGGGGAGAACACTGCCAAGGCAAGTGCTCTCTGCCTTCCAGGCAGTTTCTCTCTTGCTAAGAAGCCTGTTTCTCCTAACATAAGACTTTCCATGCTTTGGAAATCTAATAGGGTAAACTGACTCTGTTGTGGGGTGAGAGAAGCCCATGGAAAGGATAGTGCTCTCCTGCCAAGGGTGTTCAGTATCACATGAGACTGCAGAGTACCCTCAGTCTGGTGGTATGGCAGTTACACAGTTTTTCACATTCCTTCTCCTGCATCTTGGTTCATAAAGTTTTCCTCTAAACCTCAAAGCAGACCATAAGAAATTGTGCTCAAACCTTGCTGTGGGACTGAATTCACTCCTTGAACAAGGCAGCAAAGAACACTGAAGGGCCCCAGCATGCATGTCCTTTTACTTGGCACCTTGAGCTTGTTTTGTTCCCTATCACCTTAGAGCAACTTCCCAGACATTCTCCATTTTTACCCTCCTGGTCTGGAAGGTAGCCCACCCTTTAGGTGACAGTGCTTCTGGCTTCTTTGTCTAGACCTTGAGACCCTGCCTCCGGCCTTCCCCTTGTCTCCCTAACCTTCTGGGGGGCAGTACCAGCCCATCTTGTTGTGGCAGGATGCATGACTTTGCTGCATCCTATAAAGGTCTGCAAGAGCACTGTGTAGTGGTGTGTTCAGCATCCAAAGACCCTCAGGACTCAGACAAAGAGCTGTTTGATTTAATGAGCTGCTGGAGGAGAATTCCTTATTGGGTACCATAATGTACTAAACCTAAATTTTTTCTAACAACAAGAACCCTTGATCTTCAAACAGTGAAACAGGAACATCTTGTTCTAGGGGCTGGTTGTTGTATGCATTCATTTCCCCTTCATTCTGGAAGCAAGCCCTGGGTTCCTGTGGTCCAAGGGTGCCTTGTTTTGGGGGTTGCATGCACAGACCCTTGCTGTGAATTTCTGTTCTTGGATGCTGTGATTTGATTTATCTAATATATAGTCTCTAGCTTTGTGTAAAATGGAGACCTCTGTGTGCAGTCTATTAGGAATTCCTCATCACACCTGCATTTGTTTGATTTCTAGTGAGCTTTTGACTGAATCACAGAGAAATGACATCTGCTACGTTCTTAATACCTTTGATCAAGCTCTCAGCAACCCTGAATATTACTGCTGATCCTCGGCACAAAGTATTTTTCTGATAGCTGTTGTTGGGATTAAATTCAGGCATATTGCAGAAAACAAGACTGAGATTACGCAAAACTGTTTTACTGTGAAGAATAGCTGTACACTGCTGTGTCCCACTGATACAGATAATTTTACACTTTTTCTGTACTGTTAGGTGCAATGCAGAAAAGATTTTTGGTTTAACTTTTAAGTTTGGGGATGTTTAAGAAGTTGATTAGATTGGGCATAGGATCTGTGCATATTTGCTCTAGATAAAATCTCTATAATAATTGAGAGGTGGGCTTCTAGTTAACACTCTAAAGTTAATCAAAGCTATGCCTAAGCTATAGTGGGGACTACTTCTCAAACCTTGACCTGCCATCTGATACACTATCTGCTTTCATGCATCTCTTTGCATTTTCAGTTGACCTAATTAGCTACTTGACACGGTTTGAGTGGGACATGGCCAAATATCCCATAAAGCAGCCGCTGAAGAATATATCAGAAGCATTAACAAAGGTAAATTGTACTCATGATTTTAAGATGTCAGCATGGGGAAGCATGTCTTTTGGCTGGTTGTGATTCTTTCTCTCATGGCAGTCAGTGGGAGATTTGCCTTTGGTTTGGGCAGGAACAAGCTCAGAAGCACACACTTTGTACTGAAGCAGTTGATATTATTTTAATTTCTCTGCAATAATAATGATACATATATTGAAACCTATTCAGTCTGTAAGTATATGGCACTTTATCAGATTCACTAGAGTTCATTGATACGTTTTCTGCACTTTAATCCCCTTAATTTTAATTTTCTTTTTTTTTTCATATAGTGTCATATTATTCTCCACATTGGAGATGTTTTTTGTGAAATTGTTGGTCTGACAAATCAAATGCCTTCAGGCTGAATAAATTATTTACATTGTTCAGTCAGAAAGGCATGATGTGTTGTTGTTCAGCGTAGGTAACAAAACCATGAACTTGCCCCTTAGGTACAGCTCTGGCACACCAACAGCAACAGCTGACTGAGCACTACTTTCTACAGGGGCCTTTGCCCCAGGGGAGCTCTGGCCCCAAGCTCTCTCTCGGTGATTTTAGGGGAGCTGGCAGCTGTGTCTCTGTGTTAAGGTGCTGTAGTAGCGGGACAAAGGTGAGAACAAGGCCTCAAGCACTGCACTGACTCCTTTTTTTCACTTTGTTTTAGCAAGTGACTCAAATAGAAACAGACCTAAAGGCCAGATCAGCTGCATACAACAACATTAAAGGAAATTTGCAAAGCCTGGAGAAGAAAACAATGTAAGTATTTTGCACTGGGGATGCTGTTGCATGGCTGAAATGAGGGCAGTGTGTGTTCACAGCTGTGCAGTGTGTTCATTGCTGTGCAGTGAACCATGTGTGTTCTGGTGGGAACAACTTTTTTCCTTTGGGACATGCTGAGCATTCAGAGACCCAGTGAAAACAGGTGGTGGGATAGCTGGTGTGGTCAGCATATTTTCAAAATCAGCTCAGGGAGACTAAGTTCCTAATAGGATTTTATTGACGGTGTGAGCAGGCAGTCTTGGAAAAAGTCAACTGTTTTGCTCTGATGTGACTTCAGCAAATTAGAAATTAATTGAACTGTGTCAGCTAGTGGATTCCTTTGCCACATGGAGCTGTGCCCCATGTTCTGAGCAGCATTTGCAAAGCTCCCATTGGAAACAGCTCTATCTTGCTTCATCCTGCACCTCACCAGCATACCACTTATATTTTTGTTTTCTTTCTTTCCTCCCGTTAGTTCAGGTAATGCACTGCTCGGGCTTCCCAAATGTTCTTTCTCCTGTCTTCATCTGCTTATGGTCTTTGCCTATGTCAGCATTGATACCTGGGTTTTTTTCTAGGATATCACTGGGGAGATTGGTAAAATCCAGTAAGTAGTAAATTTAAAGAAACTTAGATGATGCTGTGCAAGCCCTCACCCAACAGATGCTCATATGTGCCACTGTTCCTACTCAGGATTAGGCACAGGGCACAGGTGGCTGCCTGGCACCACAACCACACTGGCAGCCTGCTGGCCAGGGCTCCAGCAGCATGAGGAGGGAGAAGATTGGAGACCTCGTGGCCGGGGACGATCTTCTGTCACCATTCCATCCACCTTTAAATGCTGACAACTCTGGTGTCTACAGTGCCAAATAACTTGGGTTGAACAAATATCTAGCAAAATAACTAGCCAATTAGTTAATATTTAGACTGGCCCAGTGAATCTCAAACAAAAACTACTATTTTAGGTCCTTTTTCACTCCTGCCCAGCGACAGGGAGTGCAGCTCCTCTTAACACCTAGTGCTTTCCGGCCTTATATGGCCAGCCCTGCCTACCTACATGTCCTAGAAATTAATGTGATCAGGTGGGCTTAGTCTCCTGCAGGTTGCACCTGTGTTTGACTGACTACTGCTCCTGCTGCTGTTCAGCAGGAAGTGTCTCAGTGTGCCTGCCCACAGCAGACCAGGAATGCCAGGCTGCTGTGATGGCTTAGGTCTGTACTTACATGGCTCACTCCCTGCAGCACCGTCAGGCTTCCTGAGAGAGCAGGTGCTTCCCACAAGATGTGGCAATGACTGGGAGCAGATGTGCACTTCCCAAGTATTTACATCCTTACAGCAGCAGAACGGTGTAATTTTACATAAAGGGCATAAACTGGCCTCCTGCTAGTCACCAATATTGTGTCCTTAGTATTAGTTACTTTTTGATTATTTTAGTTGTAGTAAAAATAATGAAACAGCCATTTCAGAAGTGTAGCTGTGTCCTTTAGCCATGTCCTTCTGGGCTTTCTTCTACCCCAGTATATACTGTTAGCATTTCCACCCACAGCACAATGCCTCCAATGTTCCACTGAGGAGTTCCTGCTACTGTTATTTTTACTTTGTCTTCTTCACTGTAGGGGAAATCTGCTGACTCGGACCCTGGCAGACATTGTGCACAAAGAAGACTTTGTTCTGAATTCCGAGTATCTTATCACGCTGCTTGTCGTGGTGCCAAAGTAAGGCAATAGTGTGTGCACACACCCCGTGTGGCACTGAGTCCCAGGCCTAAGCTCCAGAACCAGGTGATACCAGGTCAGGTTGGGGCAGCACATGAGTGCCCTGACTGGGGCACAGGTGGAGCCCTTAGCAAAGAAGAAAGAAGAGTTTCTGCCAAGAGCAGTACTAGCACAAAAGAGAGAGACAAAGACTGTGCCAAAGTTAGAGCAGGACAATTAACATGTAGGTTTTTCCATGACTACTAGTGGGTTCTCAGTCTCCTGATAGGAATAGTATGAGCTAAAATAAATGCTTACAGCAGCATAGACAGTTTCTAAAAGGAATTAGACCTTCTCAGCTCACAGTCTCTCTCTGCTGTCTGTGGCCTTGTAAGTGCCCTTACATAGGATGACTGCTACCAATGGGGAAGTTGCACCATGTTCTCCTCAGGGCCCTACACAAAACTTTTCCTTTCCATATAGCCCTGTCCCAAAACACATATACAGCACCATCACTCTTCTGTCTCTGAAAACCAGGTTGCAAAAAGCTATCTAAGTTTGTTGACTTCATTATCTGAGTTTATTCACACTAAAAAGAGACTTCTCTCTTTGTAAACTCTTACCATCCCCCTGTTCCCTTTCTCACAGTGTTGGCATTCACGAGGAGTGCAGTCTAGCACCAGATCAGCTCTGGGATTGCACATAGCAGATGTAGCACACCTACCCATGGGCAGTTTGTGCAGGTGTCCTGGAGCATGGGATACTGTGTGGGCAGTCTGGAAGTATATACCATGTTCTTCCCACCATCACCTTACTGATGTTGACCCTTCCTCAAGCCAAGATCCAAAGTGAAGACTGAGGGTGTAGCACTGAGGAAAGCATCTTCTCAGCTGGTGACTAGGAGAAGAAAGGATAGGAGAGGCTTAATGTATCTTAATGACATTACCCAGCACAAAGAGCTCAACCCTTCTAACCTAAGTTATTAGCTTAATTAACGACATATATCAACATTTGCTTTCCAGTATATAGTATTTATTTACTGTGCTTTATTTTGTGTTGCTCAAAGGTCAAGCTACCTACAGTGGCAGAAGACCTATGAATCACTCTCAGATATGGTAGTACCTCGCTCCACCAAGTAAGTGAAATTCCAAGCTCTGTGTTTGTTTCAGTGATCCCTGTCATGATTCAGCCTCTCAAATTGGTGGATCCTGGAGGAAATCACTGGTCTAATGCATAGGCTCCGCATTAAAGTATTTGCAATTCAAATACAATTTAGTTTGTTGAAAGAAAGCACAGAGGAAAGAAAAAGTAATTGTTTTTACAATTAGCTTGTTCCCTTTTCCAGTAATCTATTTCTTTTTACTTTCAACCAGGCTGCTGCTTCTTTTTGTGTAAAACAGGCAATTTATTATATTAATGGAGGTATAGTTCAGACACAGGCAATCACATAGAGCTTTATGGAAAGTACTTTATAAAAAGATGAAAAACTAAATCTGCATTTTTAATTGCTTCCTGTTGTAGCATAGAATAATTCAGCATACTGTTATTTGCACTAGCAAAAGCCATATTAACTCATCCTTTCACCTCAGGTAGAAAAAATCTTTCACAGGACTTAAATATTCCATTGCTCAGCTCATGCAGACTATGAGATCCAGTCCAGGGCACAAGAGCTGACAGTGGTATTACCTGAAATGGAGAAGGTAGAAAGCACAGAGAAAGAAACAAGCTGTCTTGCCTACTGCCTGTCTCAAAAACACAACTGCATGTTAAGTTGGGGGAATGATACCAGGAAACAGAAAAATCAGGCAGGCAGAATGTGTGTGTATTACAGTTGGTTCAGGAACTAAACAAATTGAGTTTTACATTGAAATAGAGTAGCCAGTGCAAGACAAGTCATTGTTCCCTGTTTCTGTTACAGCAGTTTTCAAAAAGAAGGGCATTGTTCAGTATCATAAATGAAACTAAAATATAATTGCAAAAGGGGAAAGTGAGGTAGGTAAAAAAGGGATGAGGGGTTTGCCATGTCAAATCACAGCAGTGGATTTCCCTCCCACAGAATGATTGCTGAGGATGCAGAGGGAGGACTCTTCACTGTGACCCTGTTTAGAAAAGTGATGGATGACTTTAAGGCTAAAGCCAGGGAGAACAGGTAAGAGGCCCTGACTGCTGGGCAGGACAAGCCAGCAAGAGATGAGGATCACGTGAGGCTTATTGTGTGAGCAGCTTGCTGAATCCATCACTTGTTTTAGGACTTCTTGGCTGCTTGGGTTGCTGTTGGTCCTAAAGCCACTGAGAGGGCAGGTTGGGAAGGAGCTGTGGTAGCAAAATCAGTGATCCTGTTCTTTAAGCTCCAAGTTACAGATCCTAGAATTGCCCTTTTGGCTCTCATTCTGCTGACAGCAGAAAGCTGTCTGGGGTGATTTCAACTCCCACCCCCCACATACTTTAACTTGTTAAATGGCTAGCAACTTCCCATACCTGCTTCTCCCGGCAAAAAAAAAATGAGTGTGCATATTGCTTGGACTAAGGCTTGTGAGAGCAAATGTCATTCAATTGTAGGTTCATGGTTCGAGAATTTTATTATGATGAGAAGGAACTGAAATGTGAAAAGGAAGAGCTGATGAAATTAGCTTCTGACAAGAAACAACAATATGTAAGTAGCACCTTGTTAGTTGGTGGCCCCCATAGTGGCAGCCTTTGCTACCAGCATGCCTAAGCACCTCTCTCAGAAATGGTTTTATGGTTCGAACAGTCTCTGGTGAGTTCCATTAAAACTGGGTGTCCTGGGGTGACTAAGACACTGGGGCATGGAAAAAATAACATGATTTGCCCAAAGTGACTTGAGTTTCTGATAGACTGGGAGCTACTATCAGGCTGCCTGGGAACTATCCCAGCAGCCCATGATGGCCTCAGTGGCAGTGTTGGCTATGGAGCTGCTTCACTCAGTGAAGGGATCACAGCACTGTTCTGTTCTCACAGGGCCCCTTACTACGCTGGCTGAAGGTGAATTTCAGTGAAGCATTTGTTGCTTGGATTCATGTGAAAGCCTTGAGAGTTTTTGTTGAATCTGTGCTGAGGTGAGTAGACACAGAGTGCAGGCAGAGGTTCCTGGGGAAGTCAAAATGTACAGCTCTCTTCCTGGTGCAGTTCCTTTGTGGGAGGAATCCTTACACACCTTGTTTTGTCTTGCTCGAGGTGTGTGCCTTACACACTTCACTCCAGGAGCTCACAGGGGACAATATGGATGTCCACAAAAAAGGTGACATACGAATCTGATGAAAAACGATTCTCTGGGGGCACTTACAGGGAAGGGGAAAACAAGAAGACACTATTTAGTTGACTTTTGGCTTCAAAAAGGAAATGCTTTCCAGTAAGAGGCAGCATTGTTTCCACAACACACCACAGAGGGCATGCCTGGAGGCTGAGGAGGGAGAAAGGCAGGAGCAGACAGCTGTGTCCCTTCCCAGCTGATGATCATGTATGTTGTGTTCTGAGGTATGGCCTCCCTGTGAATTTCCAAGCAATGCTGCTGCAGCCAAACAGGAAGTCTGTGAAGCGCCTGAGAGACGTCCTGAACCTGGTCTTCAAACACCTGGATGAAGTTGCAGCAGCAAGTATAATGGATGTATGTATTTGGACTGCAAGTGCACATGCTGTAGCCTCTCTCAGCCAAATGAATTGTCCTGAACTGAACCCACTGTCCTGGGGTTAAAGCATGCATCTTCTCACATCTTGCAATGATAGGAGCCCTGGATGCAGCTCTAATCCCAGTCGGTTATAGACTGGATTAGGGTAGGCTCAGATTATGATGAAGATGCTGAGAGATTGCCTGCATGTTCTGTTAAAGCATCTGATGTTTACAGCTACCAGAACAAAATAGGTCTGCTCAGTTATGGCCACTCTATGTAAAAAGCTTAAAATCTACTATAAACATTCAGATCAACACAAGCAAAAAAATTAATTTGGAACTAAAGCTTAGGACAGTGATGCCTTTGTCCCCTGTAAAAGGCTGTCATTCATAAATAACCTAGATCTTCAACAAGAAGCAGTACTTGCTTTCTCCTTCCCCATATCCTGAATTACAATTCAAAACAATTCAGGCTAAAGCAATAAATGAGCTAGCAGGCCTTCAAAACAGCCTAAAACCAGCAAGCACAGGTCCTACTGCATGAAGTGAGAACAGAGATGGGTTGCTGTAGAGCTGAAGCACTCTAAAATGCTCCAAGTTCATAACAGCATAGGCATGAATTCTCAATTACATTAGGCAGCCTGAAACAAGCAGCAGAGCTTATTCTCTGTGGTGAATTCCCCACCTTAAGCACAGCACATACAAAGCTCCATTGCACCTGTGAGAAAGGAGCACAAAAGCAATCCCCTGCAGCTTGGGACTGCACAGGTTTACTGGTACTGAAACCATTACTTCCTTTTACAGCCTGGCATGGACATCCCTGGGTTACAACTGAGTAATCAAGAATACTATCCTTATGTCTATTTCAAGATTGACCTCAGTCTTCTTGACTGCAGTTAAAGAAGAATTGCTCAAGCTTCGTCTATTAATTTTCAAGACTCATGTTACTGTAAAACAACCTTTAGCTGCTGAAAGTCAAATTAAAATGCAGATGCTGTAGCAGGATGATCTTCCTACCACTTCTAGTAATTTTTACAGTGACTACAACTTAAGTTCTCTTATTCATAGTTTTACAAAAACATATTTCAGAGGCAGAGGTACTATGGTAGTATTTATTTTTTTTTGGTAAATTACAAAGATCGAATATCTACTGGACTTAAAATAAAACAATTGATTTGGTGTGGTGGCTAATGGATCTACTAGGTGTACACAGTCCTCTTTTTTCTAACAAAGCAAACTTAAAAAAAATCCAAACAGAAAAAGTAGAAAGAATCAGAGCAAAGCCCAAAGCTCCTTTAATTTAACAAAAGAAAAAACCCAAAAGCTGAAGAGGAAAGATCCTCAAATGTGCTGTGGGACTTACCATAATATGACTTACAGTCCCAAGTACTCATGAGTTTAATTTTTGCAAAGATATTTCAGTTAGCAGTTCCATTACAGCTCATCTGTTGGGGTGATTTAAGAGTCGCAGCACATATGCACAGAATTAGCAGTTACTGCTGGCTGCCCATGGTTCCAGCACTGCCTTTCACGGGGATGAGCTATGGGCAATCTCTTACAGACACCAGATGACAAATATCCGTATTATGTTATTTCCTTGAAAGAAGGGGAATCTTTCAGCTCTTTCATTCATTATTTATAAACAAGCTGATCACATCAGGGTCACTTCACTAGACACCAATATACAAGACATGGAGAGCAATAAAATAATAGTATTTTTATTAAAAAAGCAGCAGTATCCATCCCTATTCACAGTCCTGATTCCCCTTCTAAAGGAAATAGCAATTTCAGATCAAAACAATGCCAGATGGGGAGTGAAGAAATATTACCCAATTTGCTGGAGACAGCACCAGGGTGGTGTTCTGTTAGCACCTGGAAATCCTTATGCCCTAGAACACAGACTAGCTTCATCATTAATCCAGGGGAAAGACCAACTGCTCCCAGCATCTCTCATTACAGCAGCAACCCCACTTCCATTATATTAATGATCTTATGAAGTCTGGCACAAGTAAAGAGAAAGCCCCTGAGAAGGAATAGGAAAAGGAAGACTGAAGAGCAGTTAAACTAAGATTGTCCACCTTACCAGGCTTTAGGCCAAACTGTCAAGATCTCACAGCAAGGAGGTGGTTTAGGACTGCCCTCTGCACAAGCCTCTATTCTACAGTTCACTTTCAAGAGTCATCCAAAATGGGACTGCTTGTACTATGTGCACTTTTCTTACTCTATACAAGACTAACACTGTGTGTCAAAAAATATTTTATTCTTTAATTGAAACAGAAGCTGAGCAGGTTCCACCTCCATGAAAAAAATTACAGTTAAAATTGGTTACACTAACAGCCTCCAGTAACACTCAAACAGCACATTATCAACAAAATAAAACCCAAGATGTTTCAAAGAAATATCCATGTTGTCCTCAAAATATTTGTTACACAGAATACAATCAAGTTTACTGGTTATGACAATTCATAGAATTTCTGCAATGTTTTCTTGAGATGCGTACAGTCCACTGCTGCAGTGCATCCAACAGCACAGTGTGTCATGTGCTACTTCTCCATAAAAAGGCCACTGAAATATCTGTCTGATTGTGATCCAGGCTGCAAACTGCTGCGCAGTCTCTCCCAAGAAAAGAAGTTTCCTGAAGATCTCACAGCTCATCTTTATCCCAGTCATCCAGATCCACATCACTGAGATCAATGTCATCTTCAACTGGAAGCTGTTAAAAAGGGAAAGTTTTGAGTACATGCTTAGAAATGCTTAATGCCAGGAGATCCCCGAGTTGGAAAGATTCTTACTTCATCCTGAGAGTAAAGCTCTCTCCTGTCATCTCTTTCATTCAGAAAACTCCCAAGTGCATTAAGCACAGGACAAGTGATAAGAGTTTAGACTAGAGGGTTGTTTTTTACTAATCAAAATACTCCAGATGAAGGCTATACAAATAAACTGTGTAACAAAAATATACCATATTCCGTGTTTTTATCTATCTGAAGTAGATCAAAGGACTGCAAAAACTGTAAAACTAAAAAACTTTGGTTTACCTTAAGAAGGTAGACTTGGTCACCATGTTATTTATTACACAGGCTTTACCTGACAAGCTTTCTGGCATTAAGACCTTGATGGCAAGATCAGCATATTGCAGAACCCAAGTCTCCACAACACTGGGGTCTTGAATGTATGCACTACCACCTCCCTTAGTCAGCACTGGTAATACATTTCTGCCTCAAGGGATCCAGCTTTCAGATCACATCCTAACAGTTAGGCAGGAACATCTGGTCCACAATGTCAGATGATCAATGTAACATTTGGTCTGCTGGCAGGATTAAGATAATGGGAAACCATCAACACAACTTGCCACCATCTTGTAAGAACAAGAACTTTCACACTGACAGGTGTTAGTTATTCTATCCCATCACTGCTGAACACAGCAACTCCTCAACACTTGCAGAAATGGAGCACCTCTTACCTCACCATCTTTGCCATCCCAAGGTTCAACTGAATGAATTTTGGGGAAAGCTCCACCACCCACTGGTGCTGTAGATCCACGACCAACTGAGAGTTCCCTGAGGAAAAACAAGTAAAGTTAAATTTAAGAAATTCCCCCAACCTCCATCCACCTGGAACAGAGCCTGCTTCAGATAAGGGGAATACAAGCTCAAGATTTCATCTCATTAAGTAGATCTAAACTGTCTGGCTGCAAAAACTTCAAGAAGAAGAAAATCACAGAGCCCTCTAAGCAACATTGAAAATTTATGACTGCATTCAAAGTCATCTGAGATACACCATTTTATATTTCAGCAGTGTAAAAATCACAGATAAGTGCAGCCTCTTTAACAGTTTATCACTTAAGGCAACTCCAAGGGGAGCCTGTAAATCTTGTTCTGGAAGTCACCTGCAAATGTTACTTGCAATCACCAGTGATCTTCTTTAGTGGAGACAGCATCCCTGGGCTCCAAAGGGTACAGGGGTAACCAGCTTTGTTTGAGACACTCCATCCTGAACTTGCTAGTTAGGCTTGCCCAGTAAGCCCAGCAATAAAACCCTGAGGAGCTAATTCCTTTGCATCTTTCAGAGGCAAATAAGAGTAAATTACTACTCCTCCTCAAGTGGAGTTCTCAGTTTTTATGCTTTTCACAGTACCAGTTTCCATATTTGCAGTAAACACTGCTGAGATTGCCTATTAGATTGCAGAAGCTGCCTACAGCAGCTGAGTGAATGGCCAACCACACCAGCTGTGATTATACTGCTTTCTCTAAGCAACACAGCTGAGTTCAAGTGTCGGGAAGAGATTATTCTAGCAAGTAGAGCTGCATAAGACAATACCAAACCAATTACCTAATGCAATGTAAGCTGTTAAATTGGCTGTTGTGCCCTAGGAGCATCATCCAGCCTCACACAGGAAAGGCTTCACTAAGATGGACTTTATAGACTAAGAAAATTTGCCATGTCTGACAAAGGCAGGCACTTTCATGTGCATTAGTATAAACTATCTGGTATTTCTCTTTTTTCATCTGTATCCTGAATTTAACTTGATGCCCTAAGAATGTTCCTTTTTTTTTGGCATTAAGATGAAAGTCTGATCACTTTCACAGGTAAGAATATAGCACTAATTCCATTAATCCAGTAGGAACTGCATTCAATTAATGCGCTTCTCATGGCAAGGTGAAGAGATGCTGTTGTATTTGCATTTGCTGCCATCCTCCAAGGATAGACATGGAAATAACACTTCTATTGGAAGGTCTCAAGGCCTCTCGCATAACTTATGGCAGCTGATACTTTATGTCCAAGCAGAGTTCCCACTTCACTTAGACCACACTAAAATAACAGTTTAAGTTTAGCTGCTCTGTTTCAGTGCTGCTGCCACATTCTGTCATCCCCTCCGTTTCTTCCATTCTCAGCACTGGCTCTTGCCCAGCTACACAAGAGGCAGTTTCACAGGACTTGTACTGAGCAGTGAGCTATTGACTTTTTGGATGGATTGTTTCACCTCTCCCAATCAATTTATCAAGTGCCAGGAGAATGGAAAGGTGGGAGGGTGAAGACAGGACCAATCTGAATACAAAAGATGAACAGTAACATATACAGCCTCAAGAACTTCAACAGTAACCATTAGAATTCCCAAACTGGGGATATTCCAATTACTAATGACTAGACAGAATGCACCATTTGAATTAAATGGAATTCATTAGTGAGTTATTTCTTAAGTTACCAGAGAATTTTTCAACATCAAAGTCCACTTCTCTTTTCAAATATTGTACTATAACTACCTGTCTAAAGCTAAATGGCCAACTTAATTCTGCACACCACAAAAAGGTAATGACTACTTTACTGCAATCCCCATTGAAACCATTCCCTTACTCCACTGGATTCTTATCTTAATTCTCTTAACTGTGCAAGTCTTGTCTGATGTAGGAGAGTCTGCTTGTGGTCTAAAGAGTTATAGCCCCAGATACAGAAAGACTTAAGTCACTTAAAGATTTCATACCTGAGAAACTCATTAATCCCTTGCTCACTGAACGATCCTTTCAGAAGGGCAAATTTCATCTTCCGAGCATTAACAGCTGCCATTGCTGGATACCCAAAGCCTCCAATCCCCAGAGAGCTCTCAAGATCTGACTGAGCACCTGCTTCTGTCCACAGCCACCTTAAGGAAAAGATGAAATAAAAAATTAACAATGAGGATAGGCACTACAATAATTTTCAAATCACATATCCTGTAACCTTGCAGAGTTCAAGTGAGGCTCTGTATTGCCCTTGACACTTTCAAAATCAGCAGGGAAAAGGAGAGTCCTGATCTTGAACCTTGCAACAGAAGAAAGCCCCCTCTCAGCAGCACCTCTAGGCCAGTCCCACCCACACAGCCACCAAAAGCTGGGTAAGAACAGCCACTAAACACAGTGCAGGGGAAGAACTATGTTAGCAACCTGAACACACTGCTACACTTAGCCAGTATTAAGGAGAAGGTTTAAAAGTACTCAAGTCACAGATCTAATGATTACAAAGTCCTGGCCAAAT